ATAGCTCTGCTATGCTCTTGTCTAGAGATCTCTTTTGTCTTCCCTGCAAGAAAATGAGGACAAGCTTACTCTTGGGGTTATGAGCAAAGCTTAGCTTTGAATTATGAAAATGAACACTTACAAGCAAAGGCCATTGTATACAGATCAGCAAGTGTTGAAGGGTTACCAAATATACTATGATAAAAAATAGGACGATGCAGGTTTCCTGAATTGTGATTGCTACAAACATCTCATGGGCGCCACCAATGACGAAACAAACCACCGATGCTGCAATAATACACTGCAAGAAAAGAACAGGTTTGTTCAATGCGTGTAGCTATTTAGCACTAGCACATATTAACTGGCAGCATTTGTTACATTTAATTTGATTATACTGCAGTAGCCTGTATTTAAAAAAATGTGTGTGTGTGTGTGTGTGTGTGTGTGTGTGTGTGTGTGTGTGTGTGTGTGCGCGTGTGTACAAGTTTATGTGTGAGGGCATGAGTGTTATGGCATGCATGTAGCAATCAGAGGTCAATCTCAGGCAACAGGCCTCACTTTCCACCATGTTTGAGACAGGGCTTTTTGCTGTTTGCTGCCATGTCCTGTACTCAGGGCTATTCTCCTGTCTCTGCTTCCCATCTCACTGCAGGAATGCTGGGATTTCAGACTGTATCCTGCCTCATCCAGCTTCTGAATGGGTTCTGAGGGTCTGAACCCAGGAGGTCAGGCCTATGCAGGAGGCAGTTTTGTTCAGAGCCATCTTTCCAGGCCATGCCTGTGGTGTTTTCCACAAATTTTTTATTTTAATTGTTTTAAATTAATTATTTGTTTTTAGTACTGGGGCTTGAGCTCAGAGCCTGGCATACGCCAGGTAGGCATGCTACTGCCGAGTTACATTCCTAGCTTGCATTTTTCAATTTTTAATTAACTAATTAATTTTTCAGTGCTAGGGGTCAAACCCAGGATCTTCATCATGCTAGCCAAGCCATCTACTACTGAGCTACATTCCCAGACCTATTTAAAAGTGTTTTTAGACGTTAAATAATAAATGTAAATAAAGATTGAACTCAGAAAAGTTTTTAAACTTCTTTCCTCTTCTCTATCCAAACCTAGTCTCTCTCTGTTTTATTTTTCAGATAGGATCTCACTATGTAGCTCTGGCTGGTCTCAAACTCACAGAGAACCACCTGCCTTTGCCTCCTGAGTGCTGGAATTAAAGGCATGGGCTAGTCTGTCTTCTGAAAAAAAAATCACTACTACTGGTTTGTATTTCTGGAAGGAAACCCAAGTATGTATTGGTTAAGTTATGTTGATTTTGACAGAAATAGTGACGCAGAACCTTGGTTTTCTTTCTGTTCAGTTGATTACATCAGTCATTCACTGGGAGATGCTAGGATTTCCCCCAATGACTGAAAATGCAATCTTTGTCATATAATAAATTCTCAGATGTATTTGTGTCTCTTTTGAGTCTATTGTCTCATTGAGTTGTCAATTTTAAAGTACTTTTTAAAAAAATTGTGTGTGTGTGTGTTTGTGTGTGTGTGTGTGTGTGTGTGTGTGTCCATAGAGGCCAGAGAGGGTGTCAGATCTCTGGAGCTGGAGTTAAAGGGGATGGTGATCCAACTGACCTGAGCACTGGAAACAGAGCCCAATTAGAGCAGCAAGTACTCCGAACTACTGAGCCATTTCTCCAGCCTCTAGAGTACTTTTGGAATGTTAGGGTGGCTCATCGTATGTACTACTGCTTGACCCAGCCCTCTCAGTTTTCATTTTCAGACTGTTTGTGATACCCATGATTGTCTTGGTCGTGTCCCTACACTAAACCTGTTGACGTTTTAATTGAGAATTCATCTAACTTCTAACAACAAATTGTTATTTTAGTGTGTTTCCCTCTCTATAAAGTCTTAAAGTTTTTTTCTTATAGGTTTTTGTTCTTACTTCTTTGCCAAATATTGATCATTCTGATGGCTGTAGTGAAGAGAAACATTTTCTTTTTATTTTGTTTTTGAGAGAAGGTTTCACTATGTAGCTCTGGCTGTCCTGGAACTTACTATGTAGACCAGACTGGCCTCGAACTTACAGATATCTGTCTGCCTCTGCCTCCCAAATGCTGGGATTAAAGGAGTGCATTACTATGCTTGGCTTCTTACATTTTAGTTATTTATAGAAAGTTTTTTAGTCTACTAATTTGATTGCCACCCAGCTAAATGTTCTATATAGTCTCCCAGTGGATTTAAATTTTATAATCATATCAGTGGAAAGAAATATATCTTGCCTCTTTTCAAGTATTTTTTTCTTTTCCTTAATTATGATTAGTCATTGCAGAAAAGCCCCCACTAACGTTGGTAGGCATTGCTTTTCTTCTTTGTTTGAATAAGAATTTTTGTGATATTTTAAGTGAAGACTTTGCTAATTTGGGGGTAAAGATGTTTAGTTTTATAAGGGCAATGAAATCTCTATTCTTATTTTATAGGTCCCTTCTCTTCTTCTTCCTCCTTTCTGGGAACCAGAAACAAACATTCAAGTTTTTCACATGTCCTCAAACACTATTTAATTTAATCTCATAACCTTCACTTATAATATAGTGGGTTATTTTAAGAGTCCTAAGAGCAAATCATCCTTGTGTTTTGTGGTATATGTTTTAAAAATACATGGATATTTAAAAATAGATGGATATTTTTTGTTAATATGGTAACAGTTTTTTCCACTCTGGGATCCATCCCAAGACCTCACACTTGCTAAGTACCCTGGGCCTGAACATCAATCTTTGCTTTGGTGCGGAGAGATCTCTCTTTTGTGTTCTTTTTCTAAACCTGACAAGTGTTGACACCAGTGTTAGACTGACTTGGTAAAGTAGTCACTCAGAAAGGGTGATACAGCTCAGTGGTATCATGTCTGGCAAGTGCAAGGCCTTGGACTCAGTCTTCAGAAAAACACATCATTCCAAAGTGCCTGTTTCTTAAAAAAGCTTGAGCATCATCAAAATGATATCTCATGATCTGAAAGAGCTGACCCTAAACATGTCTGATCTGATTCACTTTTATAATGAAAAAACCCACTTGTTTATGTTTGTGTATTAGGTGGAGAGTGGGCGAATGCGAAGGTCAGAGGAGAATTTACAGGGATGGTCCTCTCCTCCCACCATCTGAGTTCAGGGGATTGAAGTCTGGTCTTCAGGATTGGTCATAGCAGCATTTACACACTGAGCCGCCTTACAGGCCCCTTGCTTTCCCTCTGCTTTTATATGTTGCTCTGTTTGACTTTCTCTATTTTGGGGTCTGTTTGGGTCATTAAACTTTCCTCCCCAGAAGTTTTATGCCCCCATCTGCAGGTCCTTTCACTTTCAGTGATGTTTAGGAGCATTTCCCCATTCTCATTTTAAGTCTCTGTTCTCTCTTTCCCTTTTCCTGGATTGCTGCCTGTTGTGTATGGCTTGAATAGGTCTTTTAGATGGCAGTCCTTATCAGTCGCACTTGCTGGTTTACAACTTTCTATTTACTCAGTACTTTCCTACTTTTATTTGTGAGAGGAAATCCTAAAAAAAGAAAAGGCAGGGGAAAAACCTACCAATTTAGTACTGAGAATTGTGCGATACTGGGGTGGTGGTGGCACCAGCACTTAGTTCCAACATTCTGGAGGCAGAGGCAGGCAGATCTCTATGAGCTCAAGGCCACCCTGGTCGACATAGTGAGCGCCAGGCCACAGAGGGCTGTATTGGTGATATTCTATCTCAAAAAAAAAAATGTTGGAAGAAAGGGAGTAAAAAACTGTGGCAAAGGGAGCTGTGGAGGACTTGCTCCAGCAGCACCTCTACACTCAATGCTGGAAGCCACCGCCCTCCCTCCCCTATCCATCCAGCTGGGCAGCTTCTGCTCACCATTCTCAAGACCTTCAACACTCCAGCAAATGAGAAGATAAAATGCTTTGAGCTGTCTCTGAGTCTCTTTGGGACCTTAGCCCGGCCCTCAGCCCGTCTTTTGAACGATGCACGGATCTTAATTTTCTTAGACACATGGCCAGGCGGCGCCTTCTGCCTCTGGGTGGGTTTCGTTGGTGGTAATTTGCTGACACTCTGTTCTCTGTGCACTGACCGTGTAGACCTACTGAATGATGTGGCACTCAGTGGAGGTTTTTTGGGAGGGGCAACAGAGGCGATAGACACCAGTGACTCCGAGTGTGAGGGAACATCCCCGAGTTCAGATTGTGATGTTGTGCGGCTGGGAGGGTGGATGGACTCACGGCTGAGCTCATGCCTGGTGGATGCAGGATTCATGGTGTATCCCAAGCCTGACTGTGTCAGGCTGGTCCTGGGGCTTCATTCGGCGCCCGTCCCCTGGGGAACCAGCGTCAACGGCTGCTGGCAGCCTATCCCGCGTGCACCTGCCCTTGATGGCTGCGGCCTAGCCTAGCAGTCTGGTATTCTTGTGGTGATCTGGGGAAAGGCGCTTTGCTTAGCCTGAAACTCAAACCAGCAACCGCACCTGCAGGAGCTGCTGACAGTCAACCCAGAGGAGAAGGGTTCTGTAGTCGTTTGCTGGGTATGCCTGGTCAGATTCCAGCTCTGAGCCATATACAGTAAGGCTGCTGGCAGAGTGCAGGGTCCAAAAATCTGTCAAGTTCCCACATCACCTAAGGGTTTGTGAGAAAACAGCATGACCAAAAGCAACTTGGGGAGGAAAGGGTTTATCTCATCTTAGAGCTTGAGGTCCATCATCTAGGCAAGTCAGGGTGGAAACTCAAGGCAAAAACCTGGAGGGAGTAGCTGATGCAGAGGCCATGGAGGAGTGTTCCTTACTGGCTTGCTCCCCATGGCTTGCTCAGCCTGAATTCTTACTTACAGCACCCAGGACACATCAATCATCAATTAAGCAAATGTACCATAGGTCTGCCAATCTGGAACATTTTCTCAATTGAGGTTCCCTCTTTCCAAAGGACTCTATCTTGGGTCAAACGGACATAAAACTAGCTGGAACACACATTGAAATTTTTTTTTTAAAAAAAAAGAACTGCAGAAAATATATGGAAGAATAAAGAAATATGTTTAATAACTAGTAAAAATGAATACAAATTATTGACTTTCATCTTTGCTGTAAGAAGAAGAACGTTTCCGGTAAGGTCCACTTGGATTAAGAAGAAGTTTTCGGTATACCAGGGCACAGTCAGCAATAGCACATATTGCTGTCAGCAGACCAAACACCTGCAAACAGAGACACCACCATCAGCTTCTGTCACACAAATTCTCAGTGAGCTGCCCACTAGATTTCTTTCCTGCCAGGGTACAGAGCTTGTTCTCCGTGCTACCGTCCAACACGAAAGTGGAAGGGACTTCAGAGGTCATTGCTAAGTTTCCCCCATACCTCTCCACAGTAAAGGAAATGGTAATGGCGGTGAGTAGAAGTCCCCTTGAGGTGGAATGGAAGTTGCCTCTTCCTCCTGATTTGCTCTGGCACACATTCTTTAAAGCTCTACTGACTGGATTTAGCCACCAATCAATATTTCTCTCTTTAGTGGTCAGCTGTTTGATTTTTCTATCAGCATCCTTGACCAGGTAAAGAGTTGGTACTGGCAGCAAATTAAGTCCTGGGGATCGCAGTAGTGACACAAGTTTTGCAGGACTGGAGTGATAAGATGCTCTACAGTGAACACTCAAAGGCTGGGCAACATCCATGTAAGGCAGAGGAGTCTAGACAGGCCTGAGGAAAATACGATCGAGCTAAAGGGAAATAGAGCAAACTGCAACTCTACTGCCAGAGAGCTATAGCTCTTCCTTCTCTTCTGGGCCGGGCAGCCTCCATTAATGGCTTATGTACTGCTGGCTGCACTCCGTCTCTTCTGTTAGGCTCTAAGCAACTTGAGGCTAGTTGAGCCTCATGCACCAGGCCAGTACCACCCTGAAGGAATACATAGTCTCCATTGTGAGCCACATAATTAAGATTTCCAAGAGTTTCATTTAAAAAGAAGAAAAGTGAAGTTATTTTAATACATTTATTTAGCTCAACATATCCAAAATATTATCCCTTTATAATCATTGCTATAATAAGTTATTAACAACACATTCTATGTTCTTTTGCAGAGATAATACAATCTCTGAAATTCAATGCATATTTTATGTTCAGAGCTTATCTCATACTAGCCCCATTTCCTGTGTTCAGTAGCCATATGACTACTGGCTGCTGTACTGGAAAACAGTTCGATGTTCTAAGCACTCACGCAATGACTAAACGAAAGAAGAACTCAGTCAATGAATTTGAGTCCTATGACTAGGTCACCTTTTTCATACTAGATAGATAAAATTGTCTTTAAAATAATTGGGGGAGATTGGCATTTCAGCATACCTCATTTCTAGAAAAATTATATAATCTGTGAAGAGGCTTAGTGCCTAGAGGAGTTGAAACCCAGGGTTCTGACAGACATGGTGAAGCACAGTCAATTCTATATAGTCCTTGCTAAGAAAGAACCAGGAAGTAGGAAGGAAGAATTCTCCAATTCAGTTCTCTGGATAAGAGCCTAGAAAAGCCAAATGACCAAATCTTGGAAAAATACCAGCTGGAGGTATAATGAAATGACTAAGCTCTTCCATTTTGACTTGTCAGGATCAAGTCTGACCTAATTGATTTGCTTCTCTGTAAGCAGTCCTCAGAATAGCCCTTTAGTTGCAAGGTTTTCAACCACATCCCTTGCAGTAAGGAAATCTATTATATTGCATCTGAAGCATTATGGCAATATTTGGTCTCACCTAACAAGTGTTGTGAATCTTTTAAAAGAAGAACTAGAAAACCCACACACCATGTTTCTTTCTTTTTGTTCAACATCAAGTTTCTCAGAGCTAAGGGTTGTAGCTGATTCTAGCAGCTTCTCTCAGTCTGGTATATCCCTGTAAGAAACATGTAGGGACCTCTTTATTTGGATAACTCCAGTATGAAACCTTGTCTACTTGTGCTAGTCAGGGAATGCATCTACTCACACAAATTATAAAGCCAGTAGGCACTGTATGCCAGTCCAGGAGTCTCTGGCACAAATACAGTGCAGCTTGCCTGTATCATATTTCCAAATGAATTCACATTTTGATCAAACCTGAAGAAACTTGAAAGATGCCCCCCCTCGACACACACACACACACACACACACACACACACACACACACACACACACACACATACACACACACATACACACACTACTTACGCCTCCAAGGATTGTCATTGTTGAAGGTTTTGGTATCAGTGCCAACACAGACACAACAAGCATGAATAATGTTGCTACCATTGAGTTGGTAATATCCTATAAACACAGAATAGAAAAGTCAGCTTGCTATCAAAGACCACCAAGGCTGGGAATACAGCTCAGATCTAGCATGACTCTAGGTCCTGGCTTCTTCCATGCCTAGCATCTTGAGATTGGGGGAAGACAAGACCAACAAGTACTGCTAAAAAATATGGGGGCAGATCCCTAAAAATTTTAAAACTGCATTTTATTTGATGTAGCACACATTTCTGTCTTTTCAGAAACTAAAATGCTACAATAAAATAATGCCTATATATTTGTTCTACAACATACCTAGTGGGTCTCGTATATCATATCAATCATTTAATTATTTAAGCACACACACACACACACACACACACACACACACACACACACACACACACATATATATATATATTCACTTAACATAGATATAACTAGAGGGAGAACTCATCTGGTTTGGAAAAGCAGATAATTATGCTGAAGATTTGGAGTACAGAAGGTCTCCTATGAAGCTGGAATGCTTATTTTTTAATAGGAAATGTGGAATAATTGGCTATCAAATAACTGTTACTAAAATGAAATTAATAAAACTGAAGCCAGGCATGGTGGGTCATGCCTTTAATTCCAGCACTCAGGAGTTTTGAGGTTAGCCTGTTCTACACGGAGTCCCAGGCCACCCAGGGCCACATAGTATGACCCTATAAAAAACCCAACCCCCCAAAACTGAAAGCAGCCTATATTTAGAATGTTAATTTCCAGGATGAACCCCACCCACATTTGTAATGCAGTGGCTTGCCAAATTATGTTATTTCATTTAATAATTTCCCCTAATTGAAACATTTTAACAAGAGTAATTTATATTTTTAGATGGGTGTGTATTGTGGAAAAGGATAAATTGTCCTTATCATGGAATGGTACACTTGCAATAATTAGGCAGGAAGAAATTAATGAAGAAATGCTAGATTCCAAAAGAAAAGAAGTTAAGGAAAGAAAAAGAGGTTTGACTCTAAGGAAGGAAGACAAAGTTTCAGGAGACAATGAGTTGGCTGTCTTGGGTTAACTCCCTTTTGGCTGGATACTTTGCTCTGCTTCAAGGCATCAGGCCCTACTACCTCAGTCAGGCAGCTGTAAACAGCTATGAATTAGGCTATAAATGGCTTTGTACAAAAGTGGTGTTCTAGGGAGTGTGTGGAACCATGGAGTATGAGGAGAGGACAGGCTGGGAGAGGAAGGCATGGTTATCTCAGAATATCTATGTTCCCTAGTGGAAATTTAGAACATCGTGTTTGTTTATTTTCAGGCTTTAGCCCAAGCTGGTGTGGTACTCATCATATAGCCCAGACTGATCTCTAATTCGAAGACCTCCTATCTTCTGCATGCTAAGATCATATGTGTGAGCCATCACATCCAACTTAAAACACTGTCTTTATATTCAAAGACCTCCTGTCTTCTGCTGCTAAGATCATATGTGTGAGCCATCACATCCAACTTAAAACACTGTCTTTATATTGAAAGCTCAATATGCAGCCAGGCATGGTGGCATAGGCCTTTAATCGCAGTGCTCGGGAGGCAGAGACAGGAAGAGATTTCTGAGTTTGAGGCAGCATGGTCTATATAGTAAGTTCTAGCACTGCCAGGGCTACTGAGACCCTGTCACAAAACAAAAACATAAAACCCCAAACCCTCAATATGCTGTTAAATGGAATGCAAATTTAATTACAAAAAAATGGAGATTTCTTAGTAATTTTGAACCTCAGAGCCCTGGGTTTGCTCCTTCATTCATAATCTGTCAAGGAGTGCTAGAGAGTTACAGAGGCCTGGTCTACAGATTGTGTCAGGCATGGATACAGATGGCGGATCTGAGGGCAGACAGGCGACCAGTATCTTCTAGTGAGGGAGCACTGGCTATAGAGTATCAGTGTTTATCACCCCTTCTGCTCCTTACAGAGTAGCTGTGGTCCTCAGACGCTATCTCCTTCACTTTAATTGTAGTGAAGCCTCTGGCAGCTCTACTGCTCCACCCTGTGGGGGCCCCATTACTACTACCTTTGTCCCTTGAATTTCCTCAGGAAATAGGAAATTAGGACTGTGGTGGCCTCCCCATTATAAGCTGCCTCTCCTTTCATGCTTGGTCTCACAACCTTCCCATTATTACCTGTCACTCATGGCAAGCCACTCTGGAGAAAGGACACCGGGCCCTTCTATGGGCACAGCTGCTGGAGAATGGGGTTACATATTTCAATACTTTTCTTTCTGTCTATATTACATTATTCACCGTTCCTTTCTTCATGAAATGCTCTCCTGTTTGGTGTCTGTGACACTGGGCCCCCTTGGTTCCTCTCCTGCCTTTTCCTGGCCACTTGTCTCCACTCCCTACATTCTCTCTGAGCTCAGTTCCCAGCACCTGGTACTGACTCCCAACTGACACTCAGCTTCTCCTCCTATGCTGAAGATGTTATCAATAGCCCCCCCCCCCACACTCCAGGAGATCCGACAATCTGGTCGTTTAACTCTTTAATCCACCGCCCCATTTCTTAGCCTGTTCTCCTACCTCAGCATTCTCCCAAGGTGGGTATTTATACTTGGGAGGCTGAGGCAGGAAGAATGAAAGTTGAAGGCCAGTCTGGGCTATAGGGTGAGTTCAAGGCTAGTTTGGGCAACATTAGTGAGACCTTGTGTCAAAATAAAAAGTCAAAAGAGATATAGCTCAGCAGTACAGTATTTGCCCAGCATGCAAGAGGCTGTGGGAACAATCCCCTATAGGGCATCAATGATGATAGTTATATAGAAAGCAGATGTTGCATCTAGTCACTAGTACTAGGAACCCCATTAGAGAACTCCTTTCTCTCTACCTATAGCTATAACCTTACTTCCATGTCTCTATCATTTTTATGACTGATGATAACAGATTAAATGGCCTCTGAGAACCACTTCCAGTTTGGGGATTATTTCTAATTTTTATTATGTTATTATTATTTTGAGATAGGGCTGGTCTCTAACTCTCTGTGTAGCCAAGAATGACCTTTAACTTCTGATCTTCCTGCCTCCACCTTCTGAGATGTTGATTATAGGTATATGCTAATATACCTAGGTTCTACTATGCAGGGGGTCAAATCCAGGGCTTTGTTTATGCTTGGCAAGCACTCTACCAACTGACGTACACACCTCCAGCCTGAAATGCTCATCACTTGCCTCCAAAGATGGTTCAAGAAGGTACCACTTAAAAGCATGTTTCTGGTTCAGGAACAGCTCTGAAGTTCTCTCCCCTCAATAGTAGTTAGCAGCTTGGATATAAGCATTTCAGAATCCAAGAAGACATGACAAGTGCAGCAGAGGAGGAGGTGGCAGCCACCTGTCTAGACAAAGGAGTGAAGGAGAGTTGGGGGCACAGAGGATACCCACTGAGACAGGATGCTGGGATGTGACTTCAGAGAAAAGAAAGAGGTAAAGGTTGATAGAACTAGCTTTGCTAGTTTGCTAGAACTAGCTTTGTAGTGCCTGGCCAAAGGGCCATATAGACGTCAACTAATAATTTCCATTTGTCTATTGTGACAGCTCTGGTAGCCACTGGAGCACTTGAGTAGACAAACATTTCTAATGCTATGAGTCTGGCAGTTGAGGTTCAATGTTACAAAATATGGCTCAGTAAGATCAGTTGGAATTATCACAAATGACTACAGAATTTTCAAGTATGATCAAATTGTATTTTATTGAATGTTCTTAAATAGTTTGACTTTCCATTTTGTGATGAGGGATAGGCAAGGATAGTTCCTTGTTGTACCTGCTTGTCTCTGTCTCCCAATTCTGAAACTATACCCACATGCATTTAAAAATGAGGTAAAACATCATAAATGGAGAAAACAATTTTCTCAAAGCAATTCCATTAAAATCAGGAACAAGACAAGGTTGTTCATTCCATATCTATTCAATATAGTACCTAAAGTTTTAGCTAAAGCTATAAGACAACTGAAAGAGATCAAGGGATACAAATTGGAAGGGAAGAAATCAAAGTATAGTTATTTATTTACAGATGATATGACAGTATACATAAGTGACCTTAAAACTTCCATTAGGCAACTCCTATAGCTGATAGACACTTTTAGCAAAGTAGATGAAAGATTAACTGAAAACCAAAACAAAACAGCAGCCCTCCTATATACAAATGACAAATGGACTGAGAGAGAAATCAGGGAAACAACACCTTACACAATAGCCTCAAATAATATAAAATATCTTGGAGTCAACTCTAACCAAGTGAAAGAATTGTATGATAAAATCTTCAAGTCTTTAAAAACAGAAATTAAACAAGATATCAGAAGATGGAAAGATTTCCCATGTCCATGGATCAGTAGGATTAACATAGTAAAAATGACCATCTTACCAAAAGCAATCTACAGATTCAATACAATCCTCATCAAAATTCCAACACAATTCTTCACAGACCTAGAAAGGACAAAGCTCAACCTCATATGGAAAAACAAAAAACCCAAGATAGCTGAAAACAATCCTGAACAATAAAAGAACTTCTAGAGGTATCATCATCCCTGATACCAAGTTGTACTACAGAGCTATAGTAATAAAAATCACATGGTATTGGCATAAAAATAGGCATGTTGATCAACTGAAGTGAGGACCCAGACATAAAATCACACACCTATGGACACCTGATTTTTTTTCATAAAGAAGCCAGAAATAACACTGGAGAAAAGACAGCATTTGCAACAAATGGTGCTGGTCAAACTGGATGTAGATATGTGGAAGAATGCAAATCACCCTGTACAAAACTCAAGTCCAAGTAGATCAAAGACCTCAACATAAAACCAGATACCCTGAACCTGATAGAAGAGAAAGTGGGGAATAGCCTTGAACACATTGGCATAGGACACAACTTTCAGAACAGAACACTGATAGTGCAGGTACTAAGATCAACAATTAACAAAGGAGACCTCAAGGTGGGTGGTGGTGGCATATGCCTTTAATCCCAGCACTTGGGAGGCAGAGGCAGGCGGATCTCTGTGAGTGAGAGGCTAGCCTGGTCTACAGAGTGAATTCCAGGGCAGCCAGGCTGTTCCACAGAGAAAGCCTGTCTCAACAACAACAGCAACAACAACCACCACCACCACCACCAAATGAGATCTCATGAAACTGAAAAGCTTCTGTAAGGCAAAGGACACCATTAATTGGACAAAGCAACAGCCTACAGAACAGGAAAATAATTTTAGCAACTCTACTTCTGATAGAGGACCAATATCCAAAACATACAAAGAACTCAAGAAATTAGGTATCAAAAAAAACCAAACAAACAATTTAATTAAAAAATGGGGAACAGATCTAAACAGAGAATTCTCAATAGAGGAATCTCAAATTGCTGAGAAACACTTAAAGAAATGTTTAACATCCCTAGCCATCAGGGAAATGCAAATCAAAACTACTTTGAGAGTCCATCTTATATCTGTTAGAATGGCTAAGATCAAAAACACAAGTGACAGCTCATGCTGGAGAGGATATGGAGCAAGATAGCCCAGAGACCTAGGGTCTCTAACAAACACTACTTGTCTTAAAAAACAAAACTCCTCTATTGCTGGTAGGAGTGCAAACTTGTACAGTCACTTTAGAAATCAATATGGCAGTTCCTCAGAAAATTGGGAATCGATCTACCTCAAGATCCAGCTATAACACTCCTGTGCATACACCCAAAGGATATTCCATCCTACCTCAAGGACACTTTCTCAATCATGTTCATTGTTGTTTTATCATAATAGTCAGAAACTGGAAACAACCTAGATGTCCTCAACAGAAGAATGGATAAAGAAAATGTGGTACATTTACACAATGGAGTATTATTCAGCCATTAAAAAAATGACATCATGAAATTTGCAGGCAAATAGATAGAACTAGAAAAAAAATCCTGAGTGAGGTAACCCAGACCCAGAAAGATAAATGTGTTATATATTCACTCAAAAGTAGATATTAGCCATTAAGTAAATGACAATCAAGCTACAATCTGTAGACCCACAGAGGTCAAGAAAGAAGAGGGGTCTATGGATAAGTAGAGACGGTGCCTTGGCCCCTATGTTCTAGTCTCTTTGGTATGGGAAGGTACTCTGCAGGCTACTGAAAGAGGAATGTGACACTAACCCACCTACAAAACCTTTTGATCTACAATCTGTCCTGCCTGCAAAATAGGCTAGGGCAATGGTGGCACAGAACATGTGGGAGTAGCCAACCAATGTCTGATTTGACTTAATACCCACTCCATGAGAACCCATACCCCACACTGCTTGGGTAACCAAGAACCTGAGACTAGATAGCCCAGAGACCTAGGGTCTCTAACAAAGACTACTTGTCTTAAAAACAACAACAACAAAAATAACAACAACAACAACAACAAACCAATGTCTTATCTAGTCATCATAGAGAGGTGGCTTCCTCTGGGAGCAGATAGAAACAGATGCAGGGACCCATGGCCAGACATTATGCAGATAGAGAATCTAAATTGGAGGTCTCCATCAAATCCCTCTCCTTAGACAACCCCAAGGAAGAGGAGGCAGAAAGATTTTAAAAGCCAGAGGGGATGGAGGATACCAGGAGAACAAGGCCCTCTGAATCAGCTAAGCAAGGTGCATATGAACTCAAAGACTGAAACAGCAAGCACAGGGCCTACATGGGTCTGCACCAGGTCCTCTGCACATATATTATATATGTTAGATTAATATTTTTTATGGGATTCTTGACTATGAGAATGAGTGGGTTTCTGACTGTTGTACCTGCTCTTGAGACTCTTTTCTTCCCGTTGGGTTTCCATGTTAACTTTGATATAATAGATTTTGCTTCATCTTAATATGTTTTATTTTGTCATGTTTGGTTATCTTTTAGAAGCCTGTTCTTTTCTAATGAGATACAGAAAGATAGTGGTTCGAGAGGGGAGAGGAGGTGAGGACGAACTGGGAGGAGTAGAAGGAGGGGAAACTATTATCAGAATATATTGTATGAGAAAAGAATCTATTTTTAATAAAAGAAAAAAGGCAAAAGTTAAGAATATGCTCTAATTTATTAATGTGGTTCTAAATTTGAATTTCTTTAGAACACTTATACTTAAGAGAATTCTCCAAACAAAAAGGTCAGCCATATCTACTGGTAGGTGCAGGAAAGAGAATTTATGTCCTGTGGCTGCCCTAGATCCCTGACAGCCTTCCCCAAGGACAACATGGAGCCCTTAGCAGTGAGCAGAGATCACCTTAAAGATTTAAAAGAACCAAGTAGTTGATTACAGTGTCTTCCTATGGCAGGAAAAAGTTTAAGGTTGAAAGTGATCACTTACAAGCAAAGGCCAAAACAACCATTTCATCACTTTGTCAAGTCTGCATAGATACAAAGTTATGAAAAAGAAAATAATGGTGAGTTCAAATCCAGTGATAACGATGTATGGTTCAGGGGCTTGTGCGATGATGAAAAAGGTCATAGATGCCACATTTACTGCCTAGAAGAAGAAAACAATGATTTAGTCACTGATCATACAAGTTTAAGCTATAGAAACAATTGGTTTACTTACTGTGGGGTGTATGTGTGCATGTGTGGTACTGGGGATTGAATCCAGGGTCTCATGTATGTGAGTGCTATACCATTGAGTTACATACATCCCTAGCTTCAAAATGATGCCTCAAAACAAGTAAGAAAGATTTCTGTAAGACACTGTGGACATGAGAGGTATGACTAAGCATGTGGGCATTGACTTCTGTTTGTGTTTTAGAGGAGTAAGTACTTGTCATTTCCCACATCTATTCTTACGATCTTTTCACTCCAAGTGTCTCTGCTGCCACCTCTTTCCTTTAAGCACACCTAAGTTGTCTTCTCTTAAGACATCCTCTCCCCACCACACACACAGCCCTTTCCTTTCATCTTCTCCAGAAAAACCCTGTTCTTTTTTTTCCCTCCCCTGCTTCATGTTACTTCTCAAAAAGGTCTACATTCTGGCTGCCTAGAATTCCTCATCATTCAATCCCTCATCATTCCTTAACTATTAGTAATTTGCAATCTACTATTAAATTTGAGTTGAATATTGCCATGAGGGTAAAGGTGAAGGGGAGGTGGGAGTGGAGGAGGTGGAGGAGGTGGAGGAGGTGGAGGAGGTGGAGGAGGTGGAGGAGGTGGAGATGGGTATAAACATAATGTCAGAGGAAAAATAAATCTGATGTTTAAGAGTTACTACTCAATGTACGTTTTTATATACTTCCTCTTACTAAATATAATGCCATTAGAATGAAGGGATAGCTAAAGACTGGAAACAACCTAAATGATGCCAATTAGTGAATGGGTAAAGAACACTTTATCAGAGCTGGGATATAACTCAACGAGAGGTATGAGGTCACTAACCTAGCATATGTGAGGGCCTTTGGTAATCTCCAGCATTCCCCCCCCACCCCCCGACACACACACGAGGGAGGAGGCGTCAGGGAGAGACAGGTCTACCCATCCATACAATAAAGTATTAACAGCAAAAAGAAGGAAGAATTAATATGGATATACTATTGACATATGATGAATAATTATGATGAATGAAAGATGACAAAATGAGTATACACTATATGTTATTTATAGAAAATTCTAGGAAATGAAAGCTTATCTTCAGTTACAGCAAAAGCTATAGTTGCAGAAAACAGAACTATACTTTATAGAAAATATAGTTACAGAAAGCAGATGAGTTGACCCCTGGGACTAGATTAGGTAAAAAGAAGCAATTACCAGGGCCATGAGGGACATTTTAGGGGTTTTAGGTGTCAATATGTGCCACTTAACCAGACATACTCTGAGAAGTACATTATTGAGCCATTTTTCTGTGCAAATTACCATAAAATACAGATACTAAGATGGCTCTGATACCACCAGGTGACATAATCTCATGGGACCATTGCTGTACAAGCAAATAACCCACACCTAAGAAGGTGTGCCATGTGTGGCTGTATTAATTATCCTGATTATGGTGATAGTTTCACAGGTCTGTGTTAAAACTGATTAAATGACATGTCCAATGTAAATGCTTGTGTCTTTTCCATCAACTATCATAACACAAACTTCTAAAATGTAAATTTGGTCCTGCACATCCTCATCTATTTAAAAACCCTTCAAATCTGCATTCTCTACAGGTGAGTCCCCCTCTCCCCATGTGTCCAAGATCTAGGAGTAAGCTACCATCTACTTCTCTGGCAAAAATGTACCTCTCAGTTTATACATGAAAATTCCAGGGGCCACTCGTCAAGCCTCATTGACCTCAGTTGTCCCTAGTGTTCGATGCAGCTGACCACGCCCTCAAGTTTCTTCAGTCAGCTTCCAGGACACTGTGCACTTGACTTGTTCTCCATCCCAAATGGCTCCCTCCCATTCTTTGCTAATTCTGCTCTCTGTTCCTCACTCTCAGATTTCATTCATCCTCTTATCTGTCTTATCTACATTTCTTTTTTGATGACCTCATTTGCCACTCGACTTCAAACACGTCTCTCTCTCCACCAAAATCCAGATCTCTCCAGGTCCGACTTCCCCATTCAATTCTGCTTCACCAGTCTTAGAGATATCTCTAATCTAATGCTGAATACAAAGCTGAATTTCTGGTCCTCTGCCCACACTTGCTTCTCCTGCGGGCTTTCTGACACCAGTGGACAGCATGTCCACTTTTCCACTTGTATAGACCCCAAACTGGGTAACACTGGACCCCTCCCTTTCTCCTACCCCATATCTGGGGCCATTAGCAAATCTTGAGCACCTCTGACCTGAAAGTCCAAAATGCTCCCAAATCCAATTTTTTTTTGGGGGGGGGGGCGGCGGGGAGTTGGTTGGGTGATGACAACAGGGTCTGACTGTGTCACCCTGGCTAGCCTAGAACTCCCTCTGTAGACCAGGCTGGCCTTAAACTCACAAAGATCTGCTTGCTTCTGCCTCCCAAATATTGAGATTAAAGGCATGTACCACCACGCCTGATCAAAATCCAAAAATTTTGGATGCTGTACCTGACACCTGACCTCAGGGGGTTCAATGTACACAAACTTTTGTTTCCTGTATGAAATCACTAAAAACATTGTGTACTACCCCACAGGCTATGTGTAAAAGGTATACATAAAACATAAAAATGAATTCAGTGTTTAGATTTGGGTTCCATCTCCAAGATACCTCATTACATACACATAGATACTCCAAAATCCAAGACAGTTCTTGTTGCAAGACATTTGATCACATTGTGAACCCCCAGATTTCGCTAATTAAATAAAATCAACCTTGGGTCAAGAGACAGAGCCAGCAACTAGCTGACAGGAAGTAGCCATAGAGAGTTAGAGGGAATCCAGAAAATGGATAGAGAAATGCACAGGAAGTAGTGAGGAGGATCTTTTGAGTTTGGTGGTCTTTTTGGTGGAAGGGAAGCTCTCTTGCTAGGTTGCTGGCTAAGGAGGAAGGTCTGCTGGTTGCTTCTTGGCCTCTCTGAGCTAGGAGGTTTTCACCCTAGTATCTGACTCCTGAGTCTTTATTGGTAAAATAGAATGATAGAGACTTAGTTAAAAACTATATTTGGAGGCAGACGCAGTTCCGGCGGGGTAAGGAAGCCCGGCAGGGTAAGGAAGTCCAGCCAGGCCTGGGCCTGAGCAGCACAGCAGTGATTGAGGAATCACAGTCAGTAGCTGAAACAGCAGTAGATTCAGGTGCAGCTGCTGTACTGATGATAAAACAACAAGTTCTGGTCTTAAGCATTTGGGATAAGGGATCTGTATATCCCAAATATAAATTTGCTACCTACTCTGTGACCACCAGCTTTCCTATCCATGGCATTCCCCCTTGCTCACTCAAGTTCACGACTGCTGGCTCCTTGCTTTGTCTTGACCCTGCCATAGAACCATTACTGGATTTTCCTCTTCACAACATATTCTTATTACTAACTGCTTTATCTCACTTAACTCTGACAAATACCATCTCAGCAAAGCCCAACTTGATCACCCTACAACTATAATCTGCAACCTTCATCAAGCTTCTCCTCCCCTGATATGTCCCATAGCATTTATTCTTGGGATGCTACATAACATATTGGGCTTGACTCTGCCTCCCTCCCATCCCAATATATAAATTCCACATAACATATAGGCAGGTGTTCAGAAAATATTAATGAATACACGAAGCACCATTCAACTTCTTATCGTTTACTACTAAGATCTTGCAGATTTTCTTGTCACCATTCCTTCATTTAGGTGCCTCTCTCTTAAGCCTAACTCTAGGCTCCTCTTGAAGGTTTTATACTAGCTACCTTCTGGTCAGATGTCTCACTTCTGTGCCCGTGTCGGCTAGTTTTGGTTGTCAATTTGACTATATCTGGAATGAACTATAATTCAGAAATGGAGGGCACACTTGTGATCTGGATCTTGAGGCAAGAAGACAACATGCTTTTAATCCAGATCTTGAGGCTGGAAGGCACACCTTTAATCTGGGCCACACCTTCTGCTGGAAGCCTATATAACGACAATGGAAGAAGGCAGGGTTTGTTCTTCACCTGCTTGCCCTCACCTTGTCAGCACATCCAAAAGACCAACAGAGATACCCAGCCTCGTGGGACTGAGTAGTTACTAGATTCTTGGACATTCCATTCACAACTACCCACTGTTGGATTGCAGCCTATAAGTCATTCCAATAAATTCACATATATATGTATATATACACATTTTATACACACACACACACACACACACACACACACACACACACACACACATATGCATTTATTCCATAAAAGTTCTGAGACTCTAGAGAACCATGACTAATACAGTGCCCTACCTTCACCCTATCCCATATTATAACCATTTACTCCTGTGTTTGTGTCCTGGACTAAATGGAAGCATGACTCATAGTCAAGAACTTCTGTTCTGAGCCTGGCATAGGCTTTTAATCCCAGCCCTTGGAATGCAGAGGCAGGCAGATCTTTGAGTTCGAGGCCAGCCTGGTCTACAGAGTGAGTTCCAGGTCAGCCAGGGCTGCACAGAGAAACTCTGTCTCGAAAAACTAAAGAGAAGAAGAGGAGGAGGAGGAGTGGGGGGAGGAGGAGGAAGGAGGAAGAACGTTGGTTCTGGTAGTTGGTGACATGGCTCAGTCAGTCAAGTACTTGTTGTACAACACACATTTAAAAACAATGCTGGGCATGGTAGAACACACCTGTAATCTGCCTGTAATCCTAGCACTGGGTAGGTGGAGATGGCAGGCCTCTGGTGCTTGCTGGTCAGCCAGCCTAACCTAACTGGCAAGCCCAAGGTCAGTGAGAGACCCTGTCTCAAAAACCAAGGTGGGCAGCCCCTGAAGAACACCACCAGAGGTTGACCTTTTGGTGACTAAGTACACAAGTTTTATGATTCAGGGACTTTTGTCTTGGTGACTAAGTGGAAGAATTCTGAGAGTTAGGAAATTCAGTTTTGTCTTGCTTCCTCTTTATTCTAGCTACTAGTCCAGAAGTTGGAACACATTAAGTAGTGACACTGTTTAAATATTTATGTGTATGCCTCATGTGTGCAGTGTCTATGGAGGCCAGAACAGGGCATCACATGCCCTAGAGTTACAGTTACAGGTGGCTGTGAGCCACTCAACATGGGTACTGGAATTGAACCCCAGTTCTCTGTAAAAACAGTACCTTCCTGTAAGCACTGAGCCATCTCTCCAGCCCCTCACACTGTATATAATATAATAAAATGTTTCTTGTGAACTATAACTTATAGCTATTTCTCAGAACCACAGATTTCTGGCATGGGGAAGATTTCATATGCAATTAATTTTACTCATTCACCTGAAGTTTGAATCTCCTTTACAACATCCTCACCCTTGTTCATCTGTGCTTTCTGTTGCCTGGGAAACACTGCCCTCTCTGGTGGCCATTTAATTTTGGTACCCTTTTAATATAAAACTCTTCTTCATGTTATATGGAAATGTTTCCCTTGTAATTTTTAACTATCTCGTGTCAACCCCTCAAATTTTTAAACGATTTCCTTTTCTCTTCTCTTTCAGTTTTCTTACATTCCTTCAACTATGTTAGTTCGTGAATGAAATGAGGACATGACCCCTCCTAGGTATGGTTTAGGAGAAAGGCTTTATTGTAGATATAAGGGAAAGTACAGAGCCATCGGGAAGAGTCCAGACTGAACTGGACCATGAGAGAAGGGATGATGAGCGAGAGAGGAAGAGAAGAGAGAGGGGAGAGAGGGCAAGCGATACGAGAGAGGAGCTGAGGACCAGGAGAGTCGGCTGAAATGGCCAGTTTATATATGGAGAGAGGAGGGCGCGTGCGCGGGGCGGGGGGGGGGGGGGATACCCAGCCCCTGGGCGGGAGAGGTTTTTTAGGGTAGGGGGCCGGGTGAGAAGTGCTGGGAGGAGCCACAGGTACGGAGTGAACCCTGTCCCGGGTTTCTTTGGGACCTGACAGTTTGTATTTCTCTAATCTCCTTTCTCCAAAGCTCTGTCCGGAACTGAACTGACTGCAATGCCCCTATTATGTCTGGAACCCAAATAAGGGCAGTTTCCTCTTTGCTCTGGGTTGAATCGGCTGAGTTGGGTAACACCAAAAGTCCGACTTACAGTAAAAGAGCATCAACTTTTGTTTTTCTTTTTTCAAAGCTTGTTGGGTTCTCAGTAGTGAGACTGCAGCTGCCTCTCTGATAGGTTCCCACCAAGTTTGTAAGTCCAAATGAGGGGCATTCAGGTAGATTCATGGGTGTGTCCCTACACCGTCTGAAGAGGAAGCCACTCTACCCTACGGTTCTTCTCCCAGCGGACTGAGCAACAGAGCAATGCCTTGCATCTGGAAAGGCGTGGCTGGAAACAAGGTGACCGCGCAAATGCTGTCCCCGGCTTCCTAACCCAGTCTCTACCACCCGGAGTAACCTGACCACCCGCCCTGGTCCTCACCAGCCGCAGCATCTTCACAAGGCCTTTCACGCTCAAGCAGAAGGGCTGTTCTACGTTTTGCTCTTCGGACTCCATTTTTTCCCCCACAGACCCAACAGTCACTCTCCTTTTTCAAGACTTCTCAGTTAATTGCTCTCTCCAGGACTCGCGCCACATCCTTTAACTGCCGCCGCCGGGCCAGCAGTACCTCCGGCCGTCAAGTCTCGGCGCGCGTGCGCACTAGTGCAGGCCGCCCACTCTGGCTCCGCCCGCTTGTCTATAAACTAATTCAAGCGCAGACCTGGAGCCCGGCAGGTGTTCCGCTCCTCACCCGGGCCAGCTCCACCGCTGCTCTGCCCTGGAGCTTTCCTGTAGAGAAGCGTTGTTGGAGTAGGGGGAGGAAGACCCACAAATGGCAGCCCCGCCTCTTTGTCCTTAGGATTTCCCTTGGCCACCTTGTCCAGAGCGGCCAGTCACTCCTCTGCATTTTTTTGGTAGCTCCTCTACATTATAAGCACATCCCGCGGGAAAACGCTGATTCACTGGTAATGAGTTAGACTTAGGAGAAAGAAGTTCAGGTATTCTGTTATTCAGTCTGATTGACTGTGGGTAACGAGAATGTATTGCTTTATTTAAAATTAAAAGCTACAAGAAAGGAATTTGAATTTTTTCAGCACAGAAACTATTCCGAAGAGACGGAGTTACCCTGATATGAACATTACGCAATGTGCACACATAACGAAACATCACATGATACCTTGTAAATATGTACAATTATGTGTCAGTTAAAATAAAAATACAAATTCTACAAAGCAAGGATCTGTCTGCTTCTCTCCTTGCAGGGTCCCCAGTGTCTAGGGTACTCCTCGGTAGCTGTAGACTATGTAACCTGAACTTATGGCCTGGTCCTCCTAGCCTGGCCTTGCTCTCAGGATGTGCCGTCTATCTCTAGGGCACTTTTGCCTTCCACTGTTAGCTGTGGGCAGCTAGAACAGCCTTCCGTTTATAAAATGCTCCAGTGTAGCCAGGACTACACCATCTTGGACCATTTCTTTTTAGATACAGGGAGTATGTGTCACTTCTTTATGTGATTTGTCTTGTATAACTAGGTCATCGCCTGTCCTAGTTTGTATCTCTGTTGCTGTGATAAATCAAATACTGACCAAAAGCAACTTGGGGAAAGAGAGGGTTATTTGGCTTACAGGCTACAGCCAAGGGAAGACAAAGCAGGAATTCAAGGCTGAATCTGGAGGCAGAAACCGAAGCAGAGACCATGGAGGAACTAAAGGTGTTTTCTGGCTTCCTTTCTCTGGCTTGCTCTTTCATAAACACCTCAGGCTCACCTGCACAGGGACAGCACTGCCCACAGTGGGTAGTCCTTCCTTCATCGAGTAGCAACAAGAAGATTCTCCACAGACGTGCCCACAGGCCAATCTGATTCAGCCAGTTTGTGTTGAGTTGAAAAGAATGAACCAGCACACCACCCCAGTCCATTTAGACCTCACTGGACCCTGCCCAGCTAAGACCTGTTCATTCTGTTGAATTTAAGTAGCAGTTGCTAGCAACCTCACCCCAACATGTTCACAAAAAAAACGTTGACTTTGATTTTTCAGGATTATAGTTGCCTTTGCTAGGTGCCCAGCAAATAAACAGGAAGCCCAGTTAGGGTGATGGTTTCTGGTGACATCTCTAAAGAGTAAGGCAAAAACTGAAAATATCTTTCTTCTCTCTGTCCAAGATGACTGCCAGCATCTTGCAACCTGGAAGAAGTAGAAAACTTCTCTACCCACATGTAGCAACTGTCACATACAGTCAAGGTGGCAACAGCTGGGCTTATTGCTCTGGGACAGATGCGCCTAATCTGAGCTTGTTTTGCTACTTGCTTACAAGTGGGGGTTACATGCTTTCTTCTTATCCCTTTTTTGTCCATTCAGTGGAGATATTGGTTGTGCCTTCTTGAGGGGTCAACATTATAGTCCAAATGTTGGAAAGGTCAAAGACTGTGGGCTTGGAAACAGTGACTTGCATCCCAGCTCCCCTCCTTATGTCCTTCACTCTGCTTTTTGTGATGAAGGGCATTAAACCTAGGGCCCTTTTAAGCAAGCCTAACTCTTCCAGGACGAGCTCGGAAAATGGGGATGACAATGTCTACCTGCAGAATAGTTAGAAGGAAAATACAGGACATTGTGAGTAGGCGTGTGCCAGGTGTGGATGGAGCAGGCAGTTAAGGAAGTAATCCGATATGTTAATGAACTAATCAGCTCCCGGCATTATTAGCCACCCATTCCCTAAGTTTAGTTAGATAAGGGGTGTGTTCTACCGTCTGTAAACTGTAATCCTCACTTTGAATCTCTTCCCTGGGGCCTAGAGGGAGAAATACACGAGGACCCTTTAAGGGGCGGGGCCGAGAGAGGGGTGGGGCGGGGCTCCAAAGCCCACCGGAAGGAAGTCGGGCTAGCACATCAATTTGGGGCTATGCTGCTGCGGCCGCTATGTAGCTGGGCTTCCCGATCTCTTCGTAGGGTAAGCCCCGGAAGTCCTGGGAGCCTCATTTCGGGCACCGGGCCGCTGTGGGCACCTCACCGCGCCTTGCCTCCGGGTAACTAGTACTTTTGTGCCACCTCGTAGGGGTCGCGCTGGTCCCCTTCTCCTCCACTGCAAGTCACCCGACTTCTCCGAAGCCCTAAGGAATTGGGAGGACCCGTACTTGGGGCTCAAGCACGGTTTCTCTTCCCGTTTCCTGGTCAGATTCTTAAGGCCTTAGGAGAAAATGGGGCGGGAGCTGCATTTAACCAGCTCTCAGTGGTTCAGGCCTCTTACTTTTTCTTACTCTTGCTGGCAGTGGGGATCCTCCTTTTTCCAAATGGAGCACTGGTCTCCGTCTGCTGCCGGGGGTTGGCAGTGTTGCCAGCCTTGGCCTAGAACACAGACAGCCTGCGTCCCAGCCCTAAGCCCAAGCCCACCGGCCGTCCTTTTTAATCTCTTGAGTGTAGGTCATTCCTTGTGTCCACTGTGAAGATCCTAAGCACACAATACAGGTGAAAACAAAGTAGAATATACCAAGCGAAGGAAAGTAAGCACGCACAAATGGACCTGGACCCAGGCAGACATCAGACAGTGTCACATGCAAGACCCAACCATAGAGGGTCCCGAGAATGGTAAACATTTTTAAAGTCAAGAAGCAAGCGTAAAAAGGACTGTTTGTGTGGTTATTTATCAGATTAGCACAGAGAAGAGTGAATAATTGAAACATCAACTTCCTTTCTTTTTTAGATAAAGATAGAGAAAATGATAAAGAGAAAAAAGCAGTGGTAAGTTCCTCTTTGCATGTATTCTCCATGTAGAATAATTTCATTTTTTTTTGAGCTGGAGAGTGAAGCAATATGTGCACACAGTGAAAAAGCAGCTACGAGATGATATCTATCTCTAAATAAAACGTGAAAATGAGAGTAAGCGTAAATTTCAGTTAGGGTGCGCTTAGCAAGCATAAGGTGGATCCCATTCTCAGCACCAGAGAAAGATGTGGGGTAGATTCTCATCCGTGTCAGTTGTAATGGTTGGAGACTAGACTCTGCCTCCGGAGGAAAGTGGAGTTGTGGCACAGGCACAGGACTTAGGGCTAAGCTGCCTGTGTACTTTGACAGCACACCCTTCCATTTTTGTACCCCCCTGTTTCTTTCTTGTTTATTTTTTTGTGAGCACTGGGGAAGTTGGGACTAAGTTTTGCATATGAAGTGCTAGACACATAGTAGGCCTTCAGCAAGCAGTTGAAAGACTCATAGATGAGAAATGTGCATGGGGAAGCAGGCCAAAAGGTAATGGTGTTTATCTTTGAATTGAAATTATAGGTGATGCTTTCTATGTGGTGACTTAAATTTCTTCTGTGGGCATACACCCCTCATCAAATATTTTTTAGATATCACTTTAAGAAGGACCCAGGCACAGGTTGTGGTGGCTCATGCCTTTAATCACAGCACTGGGGAGGCAGAGGAAGGAGGATCTCTGTGAATTCAAGGCCAGCCTGATCTACAGAGGGAGTTTCAGAACAGGGCTACACAGAGAAACCCTGTCTGGAAAAAAACAAAACAAAACAAAAAAAGGATCCAGGCAGAGGCTGGGGGGTGGGCGAGGCTCAGTGGAAAAAGTGCTTGTTGCCTAAGCCTGGGGACCTGAGTGTGGATCCCCAGCCCTTTCATTAAAAGCAATGTAGGTGTCTGTCATTCCAGTGCTGGGACGAAGGGGCAGGAAAAATCCCAGGGATTCACTGGCCAGTGAATCGCTTCAGGGTTTTCTGGTGGGAATAGGGTAAGTGTTTTTTAACTGTCTTTGAATAGTATGGAAGTCATTGTAGTGAACAGGAAAGAATTATCAGATGTGGAGTGACGTCCATCTTGAGTTCCTTTTGTGTATCCAGGAGAGAGGAAAAGTTGTTTTCAGGGAAGAGCAGCAACAAAAGGCCCAGTAGTGCCCTGTGGGGTTTCTTCTTGCCTTTCACTTACTCCCTTGGGTTTATTTAGTGTTTACTCTGGGTCCTAAAGGTACAAACTGACAGGGGTCTGGGATTAGAGGGTGGCCTGGCCTCTGTGGGAAGTGTCATTGTCCATTTCTGGATACCTGTTAGGTTCAAGGCTGGAGACCTTTGCTGCCAATCAACAGTGTACTTGCTAGGGAAAGTTTTATATTGGGTGTGGTGGCCAGTTGTGATAGGTGTTATAATGGAGAATGTGACAGGTGCTGCCTGAGGTCATGAGAAGGGGCCTGGTTGGGCCTGGGTGTAAATTCCACCCACCTGCCTGGATTACTGCCTCGGCAAGTCACCACATATCTGTGTACCACTATGTGATAGAGTATGTACTTCTCTGTGTGACCCAGAGGATGTGTTAAGAGTGTTCTTAAGGACCAATTTGTCTTATGCTGAACTGTGCCTCTCTTGTGATCTGCCGGAACTCAAACCACTCGGTCTATCTATCACCAGGGGTGCCAGACTGAGCCTTGGAATGGTTGGGCATGCCTCCCCAGGTGGCAGCCATCATGCCGAGGGTGTGGGTTCAGTCTGGTTTCCCTTATTGAACCCCTTCTGTGAGCTTCAGAAGGAGTTTCTTAAAGGAGTTTTCTTTTCTGTGAAACATGTAAGGATCAACTTCCCAGATTCTGGGGAGGTTAAACAGGGTGGCAGAGGCTACCCACCTGTGGCAAAAGTCTCTGCTGCTTTTTTCCCTCCTCTCCTTTGCTAATACCAGTCAGTGACTGAGAGCTTCTCTGTAGTCAGCGAGTTGGATCCTAGACAGCATACATGTGCTTTTCAACCTCAAAGCCATTGATAGACTCAGGTTACGGAGTCACTTTTTATAGCTGACACATGGCAATCTGAAGGGTAGAACTAGGGAAGGGCTCAGAACTTGACAGGGCAGACAAGCTGTGTGTGGGTTCAGGTGACATAAGGGGATGGGGTGTTGGATTGGGCTGAGGATGTAGTTCAGTGGTAGACAACTTGATCGGGATGTATGAGGCTCTGGGTTTGACCCCCAGCTTGTTAACAAAAAGAGGGACTGGGTCTCTCGTGGATGCATCACCCGGGTTTGTCAGTAGGGGGCAGAATGGGGGATGCTTTTTCTGTTACTGCTAAGTAGGACCTTGGGGGATTCCCGAGGCAGGGTTTTGACTTGCCACTCAAACTCCTAGACTGAACCAAGGAGGCTGTTTACCCTAACCTAGTTTTTCCCTCATGTTCCTCGGGATGCTTGATTTCTGTCCCTAATGTACACCTGTCTTCTGCCAGGTTTGTGTTGAGGGCAATATTGCAAGTGGGAAGACAACGTGCCTGGAATTCTTCTCCAACACAACAGACGTCGAGGTATGGCACTCACACTGGGTTTGAAGGAACCTGAAATGCCTGAGTGGAATAAGTTATGCAAGGCACAGACAGCCCTGTCCAACCGAAGGATGATGCCAGCCCCCAGTGCAGTCCACATGTGTGATCTAGTGTTTTTAAAAGCCTCACGGAGTGAAGCAAGAGGAGCACTTTGAGACATCCCAGATATTAGTGTGTCAATATGAAGTCAGTATTAAAGTGATAAATGAACTGTTTACATTCTGTGTTTGATACTAAATCCTTGGGATTGGACATTTATTTAACACTTACAGCATTCTCAATTTGGACCTCAGATAGTCCTCAAGTCATAATTTTCAACCTAGGTTGTTTTTTTTTTTTTTTTTTTTTTTTTTTTTTTTTTTTTTTAATATACAGTGCTGCCAAAGCAGTATCCATTCAGTAGAAACTATACTGTGATACCCGGTAGATTAGTATATTTAATGCATTTTCAACTTGCTCTATTTTCAAGTGAGGACATAGCCCCATTGTAAACAGAGGATCATCTGTGGTCGAATTCCAAGGTCATAATGGTTGCGTGTGGCTTGTGGCCCCTGTGTTGGGTGGTGCATGTACAGATCTCCCCATAGTCTGGTTGGGAAGAATACATGTGTGAGAGCAGAGAAGGCAGGCTGCTGAGCCTTGCTCTGAGGTGTCAGTGTCTCAGCAGGTGAGTAGCACTGTGCGCAGCTGGTTATGTATTTCTAGTTCATTTAAAATTCAGCCACTAAGAATAACTTCATAGATGTTTAAGAATCACTTCTCTCTACCATGTGACCCTCATTCTCTGTGCTAGGTCTTGGTGTCTTGTATCTCTGTGGCCCTTTTGTTACAGATTTAGTGTCTCTTGTCTGAAATGCTTGGGATCAGAAGTGTTTCAGATTTGGATTGTTTTTCAGATTTTAGAATATTTGATATAATATGTAATGATCTTAGAGATGAGACTCAAGTCTAAACAGGACGTTCATTTATGTGTGTACTTTATGCACATGGCCTGAAGGTAATTTCAGTAGCCCGGACCAGTATTTTGTGTGTTTGACTGATCTGTCGTGTGAGGTCTAAGTGTGGACTTTTCTGTCTGTGGCATAATGTCTGCTGGGAAGTCGAAGCATTTTGGATGTCAGATTAGGGATGGTGAAGCCGTATTGCAGATTTTCTGACTGCTGCTTCCCTCTTCCCCTCCCTTCTTTTCTTCTTCCCTCCCTCCTTGAGTTTACTTCTATTAAAGATATATGTGGTTTGCTAAGATAAGAACCATTTTCCAGCCCTGGTCTTGTTGTGTTCATGTGCTGCTGTGCAGAGAAGAGTTGACATCGCAGGCCCCGGACAGCTGCTTAGAGGTCTGCCCGAAAGGTTGGCCTTGGCCAGCACATGGAAGCAGAGGTTGAGGGAGGATTCCCACCATTCCTGCCTCAGAAGGGAAGCTTTCTGTGCCTGGATGCAAACAGTATGGACTGTCCTGAACAACTGCTTGCTTCTTGGAGGCCTGGGGGTTTGGTAGGTTCCAGGCAGCGATAGCCTGTGACCTCTGACGTCCCTGAACTCCCAGGTCTACTAGGTCAACTTCCCTGGTAGACAGCATTTTGCATGTGCTGTGACAACTTGTTGCTGGGGAAATTGTGTGTTATGAGACTCCACTGGGCAAGGATACTTGGGAGGTTTGCCAGTTTCCCTCCAGGTATATTTCCTCTTTGCAGATTTGGTACTGTGCCCTCTCATGGCAGTTAATATTAGCTGTTAGTGTTGGATGCTGTGTCTCATCAATCTTAGGGTCATAGCACTTGTCTTGAGTAGTGAACCTCTCAATGGAACTTGAAAAGTCCTTATGTTCTCACTATAGACCTTGGGGCCAATTAACAAAGTAGCAGCAGCAATAGCTAATATCCATGCAATGTACCATGTGTGGGGGACCATCCCTTACCCCCACATTTCCCCAGAGTACTCTTGAGTAGAAGCAGCAGGAAATATTAGTTAGAAGAATAGAGGGGAGAGGAAAAGATAGAAAATACAGGAGAGCTTCCAAAGGGCCTAGATCCTAATTCATTGGGCCCCAACTGTCTCTGCCCTACAGTATTTAAAGGAATGCCAAGGGGTGGAGCATAAGACCTCCCCCCAGCACAGCAAGTACAGACCATCTCAACACTTGTACTCAGACCCGTGGTCCAGTCATCCTCTCTATGCAGACCTGCTGGGTAAAGCCACTAGGAAACCTGAAAATGGGCTCCAACAACCATGTTAAGTGTTTATGGTATTATCTAATTATTCCATGCTTATATGTATAACCTCTCCGGGTAATCACTTTTACCTTCGTTGAGAAGAGGAGACAAAAGGATAATTGACTTATAAAATTTATATGGTGTGATAGTTAATTTTGGGTGAGAGCTTGACTGAATTCAAGACTACAGCAGCCTCCCACACTATGCTGTGGCTTCGTTTTCTGTGGTTTCAGTTACCTGAGGTCAACCAGCATCTAAAAATATTAAGTAGAACATTCTAGATTTAAACAATTCATAAAAATTAAATTATGCATTATAGTATGATGTACCCAATGAAACCTCATGCCATCTTACTCTGTCCCATGTGAATCATCCCTCTGTCTAGCATAGGAAAAACAAACAAACAAACAAACAAACAAACAAACAAACAAAAAACATGGCATGTCCCAGGCTTGTGGTATCTGAAGCTTCAGGCATCCACTGGGGATCTTGCAACACACCTCATGAATAAGGAGGCAGGCACTGTACCTGGAGAACTACTGAAGCGTTATTTCTATACATGTTCAGAGAGGGTTTCCAGAGGAGACTGATATGTAAATTGGTGGGCTTACTAAGGAGGGAATATGAATGGGGACCTATAGTTGGCTATAGGCCTGGATAGAACAAAAAAGAAAAGGATTTCCTTCCTCTTTTTCCTGCTGTGGGACATCAAAACTCCGGGCTTTCCAGCCTTAGGACTTTGGGACTTAGCCTGAGGCCCGGGTTCCAGTGTTCCGGCCTCATACTTAACATTACCCAAATGACTTCCCTGGTTTTCAGGCTTTGGACCTAGACTGAACTGTGCTCCTTGTATCCCTGGAACCCCAGCTTTAGACAACCTGTCGCACGATGGAGTTCTTAGCCTCCATAATTACATGAGCCAATTTTGCTAATGAGTTCCTTCTTTATGTCAGTTGCTATGTTCTTGTTATTGGATCTGCCCCTGTAGAGAGCCCTGACCCATACAGTAGTGTGCATCGGGGCCAGGTCCCAGCTCAGGCTATGAGACTTCAGGGCCACCTGTGTTTGTCTCCAAGCTACGAAGAGCTCGGCTGGCCTTGGTCAGCCCACTCCCCTTCAGACTGAGCTGCTTTTCAGTTATTTACAGGTCATTTTTGGAAGTCACAGGAGGGTCCCACCTAGAAGAAGCTGTGGCCTTTCAGAGGCCTAGCTTGTTTGGCCCACCCTTGGCACCCAGACAGTAGTCTTGTCTGTCTGTCTTCTAAACTTGGCATGCTGTTACAGCATGTTTTCTTTCCTTGCAGGTGTTGATGGAGCCTGTGCTCAAGTGGAGAAATGTCCGAGGCCACAATCCCCTGGTGAGTGCTTTGTTTCTTGCACAGACTGCCAGCTTCCCTGTGAGTACCTAGGAACGGTGGTGCTGAAACCTGAGTCCGTGCACACCCACTCTGTCCACACTGATTCAGAAGAAAGGAGAATGGCAGGTCAGAAGAAAGAAAGAAGAGGCCTGGGTGGGTGTGCACAAAGCCAGGAACCCCCTTTTGGCTGTCTTTAAGGATTCCAAGTGGCTTAGCTTTCCTTGAACCTAGTTCTAGGTCATCAGCTTCTAGAAGAGCCTCTGATTTGGGTTTGGGCTTCGTATTATCTAGTAATAGATCCTGTTGTTTACCCTGAAGCTGCCTATCTTCCTTCCCAAGGAGGGCAGGGACCACAGTGTGCACGTGCCTCTTCTCCCTCCTCCACTCAGAAAGCCCCGTGCTGCCTGCTTGAAAATGATGGAGAGAAAGCAGACACTAGCAGAGGGGATGAAGAAAGGGGTCTTGGTTCTGGGCTCCATCCCATGTTATAGGGGTGCTTAGTGCTTCTCAGCTAAGAAAGCTGTGGTTTTAGCAGTGCCTTGCAAGCCTCTGGCAATACCCCATGGAGTTGGAGTTCATTGGACTCGGTTCCGCAGCAGCAGCATCTGTGTCTCCTGTGCTGTGTTTGCTCGAGCACAGCTGCACTGCCTAGCCTTTAGCATCTGCTTGTTCATTCATTCAGAGAGTATTTATCCCATACCTTCTATGTGGTAGACACTGCTCTGCATGCTAGACACTGAGCAGTATAAAGTCTCGGTTCCCTGGCACTAATATCAGTGTGGGGACGAAGGAGACACTTAGATGTAAGAATGTGGTGGGTGAATGTGGGTGAATTGTCATCAGAGAAACTTCGCCTGGCAACTGATGGAAACAGTTGCAGAGACCCACAGCCAAATCTTACGTGGAGCTCGGAGAATCCTGCAGAAGATGGGGAGGAAGGATTGTAAGAGCCAGAGGGGTCAAGGACACCACAAGAAAACCCACAGAATCAACTAACCTGGGCTCATAGGGGCTCACAGAGACTGAACCAACAACCTGGGTGGGAGCCTCCATGGAACAGACCTAGACCTTCTGCCTATATGTTACAGTTGTGTAGCTTGGTCTTCTTATGGAACTCCTAACAGTGTGAGTAGGGGCTGTCTCTGTCTCTCTTGTCTGCTTTTGGAACCCTTTCCTCCTAATGGGTTGCCTTGTCCAGCCTCAACATGAGAGGAGGTGCCTAGTCTTACTGCAACTTGATAGACCATGGCTGGTTGATGTCTATGGGAGGCCTGCCCTTTTCTAAAGAGAAACAGGAAGAGTGGATGGGGAAGGAGGCGGGGAGGGGGAGAGGAACTCGGGGGTGGGAAAGAGGGGAAACTGGTTGGGATATAAAAACAAAACAACAACAACAAAATAAATACAACAACAACAAAAAGAATCTATAGTTTCTAGTTCCATGGGCTGGGAACACTTAGTCTTTGAATCTAGACATTGTATTGTGACAGGCTACGTGCTAGAGAAGTAAGGTACCAAAAAAAAAAGGAATGTGGTGGGTGTTGAAGGGAGTTGTGAAGAGAGCTACAGCAGGTGAAAGAATGCTAGATAAGACAAAAGCTCATAGTGTTTGAATAAGAATTGCACAGAGCTGTGACAGGAGTTTTACTTGTCTGCATATGGAAGAAGATGGATTGTCAGCCATCCTTGGGTATAACAGAGAAAGTCCATCGGCATTCATACTTTCTAGAAGCCATAGAGGAACTAGGGCTTAGTTATCAAGTAAGACAACTGGACTTTCAGATGTCTGGGACTAGAGGAGACACTTCACAAACCAGAAATATAGTCCTAGGAAGTTGCATTATAAGAGCGTCATCATCATCATCTATATTTCCACAACTTTCTGCTGGTTGGAAGAGCAAGACCGATGCTTGTGTGACAATTATTGGCTCACCACGCTGGTCACTGATGCAGGAAATTACCTGTTTGTACAGTCATCCAGCTTCTGACTTTGCTGAGATTTTCCTTTTACCCATGAAAATCAGGAAAGCCTTTAGTTTTCAATGCTGAGCACTTGAGTATCATGAGTTTACACCAAGACAAAAACAAAACCAAACAAAATAATGCAGAAAGGAAGCTGGGCATAGTCTCACATGCTTGTGACCTCAGCGCTCTTGAAAGTCGAGGCAGGAAAAGTCCTGAGTTCCTGACCATCCTGGCTGTGTAATAAGACTGGGCTTCCCTGTCCTTTCCATACACCCCCAATACAACACACATTGCAGAGAGAGAAGCAAAAGATTCTTAGTGGGCAGCTGGAGAAGGAAGTGTTTTTATCTGTAGGTGACAGAACGATTGAGGGCTAGCCTCTATTTAATGAGGAGTAGGTAGGAGAATGCATCTCTGGTAAGGTGACATTTGGGCAGAGGCCCACACATGAGGGAGGGAGCATTGCAGACATCTGGAGCAAGAGTAAAGAGGCAGGTTTGCAGGCCCTGAGATGGGGTCCTGCTTGGCATGTTTGCAGAGCACTAAGGAAGTGTGTGTGGCTAGAAGCTGAGGAAGAAGGATAAGAGACGAGGATGGCAGTGGATTTCTAGGGTCTATGACCAGGATGGGGGTTTGGATTTGATTTGAATGCAATGCAAAGTCCCTAGAAGGTTTGGAGCAGAGAGAGACATTAACAAGCTCAGTTTGGCTGCTGGATGGAGAACAGACCACAGGGAAACTCAAGGTCAACTACAAATGTCTAAGTGCTTATTCCTCATATGGTCTGGCTGTTAGTGGGCTCTCCTATAATTGTATTCACATCTGTCTCTGCCCACCCTATTCTGAGAGCCATACAGCTATCCTGAGTCCACCTCTGGCCCCAGCCCTGCCCATGTAGGTTTCCTGAAATGGCTTTCAGTGACTGATAGACCTGAGCCTGCAATTGCCATTTGGACACAAAGTGCTTTGTTTTTTGTTCTGCAGGGTCTAATGTACCACGATGCCAGTCGGTGGGGTCTCACACTGCAGACTTACGTGCAGCTCACTATGCTGGACCAGCACACTCGTCCTCAGGTACAGTTCAGATCTTGCTTCCAACCTTGTCAAACAAAACATCCTTCAAGTTCAGGGTGTTGTCAGATAGGGAAGTCTCATGAGGAAGTCTCTTGGGCTTGCATGCTGCACAGTCTTTTCTGACTGCAGCAAGGTCTCCTGTCCTCACAGGTGGCTGTCCTGATACCTCCTGAGCTCACGTTTTTGTAATCTGACCACTGATAGACTTAGCATCATTTAACCAGAGTGTGCTCCCTGGACTGCAGCAGCACTGTCACCTGAGGACGTTAGGATTGGACATTTCCTGGCCCCTCCCCAGATCTACTGAGTCTGAAGATCTGGGGCTGAGGTCTAACAGGCTGTGCCTTATCCAGCTGTCCAGGGCTCCTGGATGCATGTTCTGTGTGTCTACGTGTTTGAGAACTATTGATCAGAGCTTCGTGGGGTCTGGCTTTCAGATTCTTGAAAGAATCTGATTCACCTTGGGTCACAAATGGCTAGCACTGCCTAAACCAGGTATTGGGGCAGGACAGGACATACAGGGCTGCTTGTATCAGGCCCTTGTATCAGCGGGGTAGATTGTCTTAGGAGATAAGGTGGTAAGGGAGACCAGGAGTGATACCTATGGGCATGAGTGACACCTATGGGCAAAGCTTTATGCACAGCAATAGCCTTTCCATGTAGGATGCAAGACACCTCTATAGCCAATTATGTTGGCACAGTCATTATGCTGATCAGTTTGATCCAAGTCTGGTTACCTATAGCTTTAGTTACCATTCTTCTATTGGTATAAATCGTTTCAAATTGACAGACATGACTAGAATCTTTGGATGAATTTCTCCTTCCCCAAATGTTTCCCTAAGTGATAGAGAACAGAGCACCTACAGTTATCACCTTTCCCCTTGGCTTGCTCTGCTCTGCCTAAGTGGGCACTCTAAATTATATTCAATGATATGTGACTATTATGGGATATGGGCTGACACCTGCTAAGGAGGCAGAGACAGCTGGTTGAACTCAGCAAGAGAGAGATGGCTGAAGAGAGGGCCAGAAAACGACAGACAAAGAAAGATAGGGGCAAGATGTACAGAAAGGATAGGAGGAAGGATGGGTGCGCAGAAATCCTGGAGGGCGGACAGGTCATCGGAGAGAGTGGGTTATAGGTTTGCATGTGCCTGTGGCTGCTGCGGGCCACACTTTGTTTGTCCACTAGGTGTCAGGGTACAAGTTCCTCCTGCTTCCCAAAAGGGTGTTTGTAGCTGAAGGGAACGATGGTCCATGCAGGGTGTGAGCGACTTGCAGAAAGGTGGTATCCAGTCATCCTCTTGCCTGCTGGGCAGAGAACTTCGCAGTTTTAGCAGGCCGAGCCTCCAGAATGCCTCCCAACCCTAGCCTTCTGGGGCTCTGCTTCAGACACTCTGGTCTTCAGGTAAACAGGTTCCCCGTCTCAGGGTTCCACTCACCAGACTGTGCCAATTGGACAGTGCCGGGCAGCTTTGCTGGTCCGTCCACATCCCAGTCGAGTCTCCCTTCTGCTATGAAAGCTGTGCTGCGGTGCTGCGGGCAGCCTCCCCCCCCCCCCCCCCATCACTGCCTTTACTGTCTTCTTCGTCCTCCCAACTTCAGGATGGGTCCGTCAGGTCCGGTCAGGGTGGAGGGAGACGCACAGGGATTTGATTTGACTTCTGCCATCCTGTCACCCTCTCCTCACAGTCCTACGATCGGCAAAGATGGCAGGGACACAGGACAGGGTGAGAGGGGTGGGGCAAGTTTTCAGGCTTTATCCCCTTTGTCACCTGAGAGTAAATCACTTTTTCCATTCCTTTAGATGTCACCTGTACGGTTGATGGAAAGGTCAATTTACAGTGCAAGATACATTTTTGTAGAAAACCTGTATAGAAGGTACTGTAGTTTGTATAGTCCGTTATTTATTAAGCCACTGATTTTGTGTATATGTGTGTAAGTGTGTGTGTGTGTGTGTGTGTGTGTGTGTGTGTGTGTGTGTGTGTGTATGTATGTGTGTAGGCCAAAGGACAACCTTGGTGTTGGTCCTCAAATTATCTATATTGCTTTAATTTTTTTAAGATTAATGTTATGAGTGTATGAGTGGTTTTTATGCTTACATGTATGTATGTGTACCACATGTGTGCCTGGTCAGAAAAGGGTATTGGATCCCCTGAAACTGGAGTTACAGACAGTTGTGAGACACCATATAGGTGCTGGAAACCAAACCTAGGTCCTTTGCAGTAGCAACAAATGCTATTAATCACTGAGCCATCCCTCCAGCCCTCTGCCTTGCTGTTTGAGACAGGCTTTCACTCACTGGCTTAGTTATCACTATTGGGCTAGGCTGGCTGGCCAGTGTATTCCAGGGATCTGCCCGTTTCTACTTCCCAGTGCTGAGGTTGCAAGCAGATACCATCATGCCTGTGCTTTTTACGTGGGATCTGAGAGTTGAACGCAGGTCCTCAGGCTCACACAGACACTTTACTAACAGCTATCTCCCCAGCCCTAAACCACTGATTTTGGAGCTTGCCTATTCACCTGACAGATATGGAGTACCAACAGTATTGATGAGTTTCTGTTGATTTATAATATTGTATAACAAAAAACCACAAATCCCAGTAGCGATAGCCACCTTCCTTTATGGCCAGGTCAGTTGGGAGTTCATCCAGGTGAAGGTAACTCTTTACCTTGGCTGGGCTTAGCCAAATGTCTGGGAATGGGCTAGACTAGAATGGACTTGGCTAGGGTAACCCAGGCAGCTCATTTCTCTTCCTCTTGCCTGTTATCCCCTCTGGGACCAGAAGCAAACATGGGCCTTTCATCTCCTGTGGAGCATAGGCCAAAGTCCCGATGGAAATGATGGAAATATACCAGCACTTTCGCAGTTGTTCCCTTGCTGATATTCCACTGGTCCTGTGCTCACAGGAGCCCAGGAGAGAAATTCCATGGCACAGTGCAAGTCTATTGGGAAGATAAAGATCTGGGATGACTAGAGTAGTCAGTCTGCCTAGTGTTTATTTGAGTTGTGATTTTTCACTCAAAGCTGGCTTCTGTCCTCATGGGCTCAATCTTTCATCTAAATAGAAGCCTGGAAGGCTTCTAGTGACCCATCCAGTGCTTTGGCCTCTAGCAGGGGTGGGGGTGGGGATGGGCTACATTTCTATGCTTAGGTACTGATGATTTGACGGGTCTTAGAGGGAATGCCTTGCAGACTACAGTCTGAAGTTTCAGCCCTTTCTGAACTCTTTCTTTTAGAGCCGTGTGCCTGGTTCCTTGTCCTCATCAGGGCCCCCATTCTTACCACCTCTTCCTGCTTTGAGCTTCCAGTGTTACTGTCACTTCTTAGAGAGTTGGTCCTGATGCTTGTGCAGGGTGTTCCTGGCCCTCCCATCCACAGCGGTCCTTATTGGTCTGCTGGTCCTGATGCTTGTGCAGGGTGTTCCTGGCCCTCCCATCCACAGCGGTCCTTATTGGTCTGCTGGTCCTGATGCTTGTGCAGGATGTTCTGGCCCTCCCATCCACAACGGTCCTTATTGGTCTGCTGGTCCTGATGCTTGTGCAGGGTGTTCCTGGCCCTCCCATCCACAGCGGTCCTTATTGGTCTGCTGGTCCTGATGCTTGTGCAGGGTGTTCCTGGCCCTCCCATCCACAGCGGTCCTTATTGGTCTGCTGGTCCTGATGTTTGTGCAGGGTGTTCCTGGCCCTCCCATCCACAGCGGTCCTTATTGGTCTGCCCCAGCCCTCCCTGACCATCTCTCTCTCTCTCTCTTTAAAAAGATTTATTTATTTTTATTTTGTGTGTGTGCATCTAGTGCCAACAGAGGTCAGAATAAGGCACCAGATCCCCTTGGACTAGATCTGTGGACAGCTGTGAGCCTCCATGTGGGGGCTGGGAATCGAAACCTGTCCTTTGCAAGAACAGTTGCTCCTAACTGCTGAGCCATCTCTTCAGCTCCCTGACCATCTGGCATAGTTGGGTAGAGCCGCCTTGGTTTTGCTTTTTGTGTGGTGCCGTGGATCAAACCCAGGTCCTTGAATATACCAGACAAATATTTTACCACTAAGCCACGTCCCCAGCCCACCCCTTGCTACTTTTAATAGTGATGTCCTTAGTAGTATGTAAGACATTTATTTGCATTGTTAACATTTGGCTATTTTTAATATATAAAAGTGGCAGTTTCATGTGGCTCAGCTTAACGTGATTATTTCCTTGCTGTCACTTGTCCCCAGCTGGATCATATGCTCTTTGAGGGCAGACACAGTCTGTGCTTTACTACCCTAATCAGAACAAGCATAGAGAGCCCTGCTCACTGCTTGTTCACGCTTGTTAGATGGTTTTGGCCTCTAGCCAACTTGTTCCTTGGTGCCTGCCTTCTCTTTCATACACATATTTTTGAGGGAGCAATGCTCCTGCTGGTCCTGAGCTGCTGTGTATTGTGTGGTTGAGTCTGCTCTGCTTCCCCATCCCTACCTGGGCATCCCATTGACATGCAAGTCTCCTTAGTACTGCTGGCCGGGCCTGGGAATCTCTGGATTTGTCATCTCCCTTCTGGTTGAGGATTATGATGTAAGGAATGAGGCCCACTATGCCAGCCACTATGTATTACAGGGAGTGCTCCAACCCTATGCCTTGGCCCTTTCCCTGGAGAGTAGGCCTTCTGCCATGAGAACAAGATTGAGTTCTAAGAGTTGTCCTTAGGACCAAACGTTTATGGTGCAAGATTCCCCCTTTCCTGCACCTAGCCTGTGGTTTCCATTTCACAGGTGTTGCCTCTGGTTTGCTGGTTGGGGTTTTATACTCTTGGTTGTAAAGAGCTCTAGGTTTATTTCCAGGCCCAGAGTGGAGCAGAAAACCAAAGACTTTCTGATTTGATGGTGAAAAGTGTTTTCGACCAGAGTTGCAGAGAACCAATGGGAGAAAGAACGGAATTTGGGGTTCCTGTAAGGTCACTCTTCTTGCAACTCCAACATGCCCAGTGCACCAGATTATCATAATGGAGTGCTATAGAGAGAGGAGATTGTTTAGAGCTTTCTGCCCTCCGTCTCCATCTCATCCTGCTGTATGAGAACTAGTCACCAAAGGCAGAAGGTGCTAAAAAACTAAATAAAGAGGCAGATAGATCCAGATTTGTGCAAAGTGGCACACACCTTTAATCCCAGCACTTGGGAGGCAGAGGCAGGCTTATCTCTGAGTTCGAGGCCAGCCTGGTCTACAGAGTGAGATCCAGGACAGCCAGAGCTACACATAGAAACCGTGTCTCAGGGAAAACAACCAACCAAACAAAAAACTGTCCATGTGTCCTGGGTCAGTTAAGAAATAGTTTGGGCATCAGTGACCAGCATGTATCACTCTGTATAACTATCTGAATGTCTTTTATTTGCTCTTTAGGAATACATGCCAGGTTCACACAGTGGATAAAATAGTTACAACCAACTTGTCTATGAACTGACCACCTGCTTTTTCTAGCCTACACCACATGTAATGTAGAATTCGGTTTGGTGGGATCCTTAACCTGTACTTGGAACTGTCTTGGTTCTTACCTGTGGGAGCTCAGTTGGGTAGGTACTGGCATGTACAGTGATCAACTGTAGCCCAGAGGCTTGTGTTTCCCCACTTCCTGATATGTCCAAGGGAAAGGCTTGCTAATCATGGTGATGGAAAACCCTCCACCGATGGGGTCTAGTCATGGCTGACATGGCAGTGCTGGGTTGATCATTTTCCCAGGAATCCTTGGAACCTTTGCTGAGGATCTAGGGGCCTGGCTTTACAATCTGTAATTGAAGGTTTGGATTTCTGGAAAAGCCCACAGATACACATTGGGGTTCTACATCTCCTCAAAGCAAAATTTCTAAGAGTGTTCTTGCCTTCAAGGCCTTGAACAAGTGAAGAGCACCCCAAAGGAGAAGCCTACCTCTTCCGGTGAGAGTGGGAGGCAGAATGAGTGCAATTATGCCAAGAGCAGCCTGAGAACTTTGTATAAACTGCTGAAGAGGAAGATTTGGGTTTTATGCTGTCCTCAGAAACGGGAATTTCTTAGCTGTAGGCACTGGGCTGCAATGCAGAAGTGAAGGTGGTGTGGAAGCATCACACAGCTAAAGAGGCCACCCAGGGAAGTTGTGTAGTAAGCCCCAGGGGCAGAGAAATTGATGGCAAAGATTTTACAAGACTGCCTGGTCCTCCTCCTTTCTTAAGGACAGGAATAGAGGATGGAGTGAGGCTCAGATGGGGACAACAGGCAGGTCCTCCCACCTCTCCTGCCCTGGCCCAGAACCAGGAGGCCAGGCCACAGAAACACCCCGTGATCCAGGTTCGCCCCACAACTGACAGAGCAGGGAGGGCAACTAATGCAGTGGAGAGCAGTGGGACTGAGGGCAAGGCTTGGGCTGGAACTGGCCTCACAAGGTCCTGTGAAAACAACAGGAAACGGTGTATTTAAGTATCCAGTTTCTGTTTTAATTTGTTTGAGATAGTGTCTCATTATGCAGCCTAGGCTAGTCTGGCACTGAGTTTTTAAGTAGCCCAGGTTAGTGTCAATCATGAGATCCTCCTGCCTCAGCCTCTTAAGTGCTAGGATTACAGGCTGGTGCCACAACACACAGCCTATGATTTGGTTTCTTGAGCATCAGGTACTTTCAGCTGAACTAAATAGAAATGTGGTGCAAAGTATACTGAACTGTGGGACTGTCACTGGCAGAATATTACTTTAACTATGTAAAGATGTGTTGCATTTGTTTATGTTGTATTTGTTTAACTAGGCAACGAATATGTTACATTTGTTTATGCTGCATTTAATTATGTAAAGATGTGTTGCATTTGTTTTACCTTGCCTGCCTAAGGCACCTGATTGGTCTAATAAAAATCTGAATGGCCAATAGCTAGGCAGTAGAGGGCTAGGCGGGGCTGGTGGGCAGAGAGAATCAGTAGGAGGAGGAATCTAGGCTCAAGAGAAGAGAGAACGAGAGAGAAAGAGAGGGAGATGTTTGACCAGGCAGCCGCCAGCCAGCTAGACATGGAAGAAGCAGGAAAGTAGGACATACAGAATGAAAGGTAAAAAGCCCTGAAGCAAAATGTAGATGAAGAGAAACAGGTTAAACTAAGTTATACGAGCTAGTGGGACAAGCATAAGATAAGGCCAAGCATTCATAATTGATAGTAAGTCTCCGTGTCATGATTTGGGAGCTGGTTGGTGGCCCAAAAGAAAGCCTGCTGCAGGCCACCTTCCCTCTCCCTCCCCAGGGCCACAGTTGGTTCCTCCTCCCTCCTGTCAAGACCGACCCCCCACTCCCCCACTTCTAGCACACAACCTGGACACCTGTTCTCTTTGCAGCCAACCTGGTCATACCCAGGCTGAGTGGGTCCCTCAAGATGATGCAAGTAGAGGACACTCAAAGGAAAGGCGCTCTTCCAGGGCCTGGAAGTCCCCGGTTGCTTTCTGGCCTGTGCCCACTAGCTGTGTCCACTCTTGTCTTGTTTGTGTCCTCTCTGGGCAAAGGATGCCCAAGAATTCCAGAAGTAGAAGCCAGGTCTCCTCTTTCTTTGTCCCCTCTTATTCTTCTCTCTCTTCTCTGTCTCTCTGTCTCTCTCTCTCTGCATGTGCTCATTATATGTAAATGTGGAGACCAGATGAGGACATTGAATCCTGCTCTATCACTTCCTGCCTTTTTCTCCTGAGATATTCTCTTGAACCAAAGCTGGCCTTTTGGGTAGACTGGCTGGCCAGGGAGCTCTGTCTGTCCCTACACCCCCGTGCTGGGTTTATAGGCACACAGGGCCATGCCTCGCCCCCCCCCCCCCATGGGAAATCGTACCCAGGCACTCATGCTTGCAGAGCCAGCACTCCTACCTCTGGAGCCACCTTCCCAGCCCTGCTCTTTAAGTTTTAACATCTAAAACACAGAACAGTGCCACAGCCCATTCTTGTTTTGAGTATTAGTGTGTTTAGATTTGAGAAGAGCAAAGGGAAAAAGTCTACAGCTGTAGTTCAGTAGTTCTACAGCTCAGAGAAAAGTACTGTGAACATGATGGTGTATTTCTTTCTAGTCATTTCAAATGTGTGCTGCTTTTATGTGGTTGGGGCACATGGGTACAGTTTAGTTAGTCTCCTGTGTTCATTGAGCATCAGGTTCAGAGTCTTTTCCCAGAGTCTTTCTGCATATGACTTTACTACGCCATCCTTCAGCTATGTCCTGCTGCAGAGATAGACCAAGATTCATTCTCGTGCTGAATAGTGTATGGCAAGCATTCATGAGTATTTTCATAGAAAACAAGTTGTAGGAGTGAAAATGACTCACTGATTCACTCCCAACTTGAACGATTTCTCTGTGCTCAGAGGACAGACTAAAGTGTTCTTATCTGCTTGGAGTTCAATTCCAAGAGCATTCTCCATCCGTCAGTGCCCTGGCCAGCCCCATGGTGGTGGAAGGTCAGATAGATGCTCATGGCCATCATTTGTGGACCATACCATGCAACATGCCCTTGGTGGTGCCCTTCCAAACAGAAGCTACCCCTGCCTGGGCCCTTTGGGAAATTACACAGCACATGGGTTAATAAAAACCTGTGAATTCTCACTGCAGTGGGAAGATGCCTGAGGTTGACTACGTGATTCTGTCTGAGTGGTTTGATTGGATCATCAGGAACATTGATGTCTCCATTGATCTGATAGGTAAGACAGTCTCTCCCTGCCCCCTACTGGGGGATCCTCTGGGTACAGCTGGGGTGAGGTTTCTCCCTTGCAGAGACAGCAGACAGGGACACCTACTATCCATGGTTCTCTCTCCATCACAGTTCCCCAAAGGCATTTAGGGGTTCTACTCCCTGTAAAGGAACTCTGGCCATGGTTCCTTAAACTTCCTTCCCCTGGGTTAGTTCCATCCAGGCCCCTGACCTGTTCTGATCTGATGGCTTTTCTGTGTCATGTGAGAGGGACAGGACCTGGACACTGGCTCATGCCGATGGCTTGCCAGACCCCGTCTAGGAATGGAATTCCTGTAAGCTTCATGATGAGACTGTGGGGCTGAGGACATGTGGAAAGGGGTTGGGGGCCCGAGCGTCAGGACTCCTGTTGGTTCCACGGGGGCTAGTGGGAGACTGAGCAGGCTTGGGCCGAGGCTCCTGCGATGACTCAGGTAGTGCCTCTCCACCCCAGCCCTGTGCTGTCCTAGTCTTTGCTTCCACACTGGGAACACAACAGTCAGAGCTACTTGTGTTTTTAAATCTCAGTTTATCTTCGAACCACTCCTGAAATCTGCTACCAGAGATTAAAGACGAGGTGCAGGGAAGAGGAGAGAATCATTCCGATGGTAAGAGGCTAGAACCACCTCCACCTCTCCTGCTAGCCCTCCCTTGTTGCGTACCATGCCACCATCAGGGGTTTGTAGCAAGAAACAGGAAGTACAACTGAGGACAAACTCCAGCTTTCTCTGTGGCTTTGGAGCCCTTGTGGGTGCCAGGACTGCTCTACTTCCTGTGGTTCCCGACTCAGGCTTCTGCACTCCCATGATTAGAGGGGCACATGCATGTACACACACATGCACACACGCGCACACACACACACACACACACATGCACACACACACGCACACCATGGATATGCACCTTTGCTCTTGTGCAGTAATTTGTCTTCACACACATGCATAGACACATACACAGACGCACACATGCACACACGCACACACACACACCATGGATATGCACCTTTGCTCTTGTGAAGTAGTTTGTCTTCACACACATGCATAGACACATGCACAGACGCACACATGCACACACACACACACCATGGATATGTACCTTTGCTCTTGTGCAGTAGTTTGTCTTCACACACATGCATAGACACATGCACAGATGCACACATGCACACATGTTGAACTGATGTAAATGAGCCTTTGTACAGTAGTTTGTCGTTAGCTGTGATGTCACTTCCCGACCTTCCTTCCACTGCCCTTCTCTTGCCCCTAGGCCTCCTGCAGTGACAGCCTGCAGGACAGCATATTGACAGTGTTTGTTCCCAGTTGTCTTGACACCGTAAACACTTTTAGATTTGGTCTTACTTCCTCTGTCCTCAACATGTGTCCCGGGCTTGGTACCTAGCAGTTGCTTGGGGAATATTGGACTGTGTACCTTATGTGGACAGTTGCCCTTGAAGGATAGACAGGGGCTTGGTAAGCTCTTTTGGGACATCATGGTGCTCTGGACTCAAAATGGGCTTGGCTGGGAGCCCTGAAAGCTCTGTCTAATCCCTAAAGCTCAGCTGAGTTTTGCCTTGGACCAGCCATGACGGTCCAAGCCTGCTCTAGGCATGTCCTTTGAAATCTCAGAGACAGGAATGATAGAGGATGGAGCACCATGGAGCTGAGCTTAGGCTGTGCTTGGCATTTCTGTGCTCTCTTCAACAACTCAGATGTTCCCAAGAAATGTCATGTTTGGAGTCCTTCCAAGCTATTTTCCAAGGGGCTGAACTAATGGTTGGGCCAAGGACACTCAGGGGGTGTCCAGTGGTGTGTAAGAAGGTGGCACCATGGTTTGTGGGCCAGCTTCTGGGATGGAGGGCAGACTATTGCTGGAGGAGGTGGTCTGGGCAGCTCGCATACACTGGCTGAGTGCCTGAGAGTGCATGGAGGTAACATGGCTTGGGGACGTCTGTCTCCTTTCCCTTGTGCTCCCCACAGGAGTGGTCCTTATGGGCTGGACAGTCTCCATAATGAGTGGTCTCCAGGGAGAGTTTAGTAAGGGGAGAGGCTGAATTTGATCCTTTTGGTGACAAGCCAGAGGGAAGGTGTAGTGGCTGCTGAGTGCTGGGACACCTGTCATTGACAGCTGTACACTTCCACATGGTGGAATGGGGTCTCCCATAGAGAAGTGGCAAGAAATGGGAGATGCCAGGTTGGGAGGGGTGCTCTTAAACTTGGCTAGGGAAGAGCAGTGGGTGGTTGGGGGTGCACTGCCATTTCAACCCCAGGCTTTTCACACAGCCATGCTGGTTGTTATGGGGACCCTTGTTCATGTCACTTCCTAACAGTCCTTGAGAATTCTGACCTGCCATGTGGGCCTGTGAGACCCTTGGTAGGCGGGCTTCTCTCCCTTCCCACTCCCACAGCCTTTGTGTTCCTGTGGCAGGAGTACGTCAGTGCTATTCATCGCCTCTATGAGGAGTGGCTGGTCACTGGTAGCCTTTTCCCAGCTGCGGCCCCTGTTCTGGTAAGTCAGTGTCCCTCCTGGAGCAGAGACTTTTCTATGGGGAGGGAGGCTCGGAGACTGTCACCCACGCCACAGAAAAGAGCTCTTTCTCTCTCTGCCCCATTTCTGGACAGTCTCGCAGGGACTTGAACAGACTTGAGAAAAGGCTGGTTGTTTTAGTAACAGGTTACCCACACAGCATCACTACAAAGAAGTACCCCAGCTGCCTCTGGACCTGGGTTTGAGTTTGGACCTCTGGGGATGATGGTCCCCATTCTTGGGTGGGTGACACAGAGCCCGTTCATCATGGTTAGGTGACTCAGTGTCTTCAGAGAGCATGTCAGTGGCTGTCTGTTCTTAGGTGTCACACTGACGCCCTCAGGAGGTGCCGAGGGCGTAGAAGTGGCACACTGCTGCCACCTATGAGCTCCTGGGCTGACTGCAGTAACTCCTTGTAGCTCAGAGGTGATGTGTCTTCCCTACCAGTATGTCCTAGTTCTTATGTCTTGTGTTTCAGTTTGCTCTTCCTAAATTACCTTAGGCAGGCAGTCACCACTTGAGGCAGTCACATGTCCAATAGGGGATGATGAGCTTTTATTTATGGCCTTGGGCTGTAGGCCACATATACATTCTGGACCTGAGAAGCAGGTGGCAAGGCTGTGGCAAAGGACGTCTTCACTGTGGGAACTGCCAGAGTGTTTTCCTTCACTGTGAAGAGAAAACCTGAGGAGGCTAGGGAACTAGCAAAGTGTCGGAGAGCTTGTCTAGATGTTTGAGTCCCTGGGTTTAGTTCCCAACACAATCTCCTGCCTCCCAGTTCCAATGAAAAGAAAAGGCATGGATGATGGGATGGATTGTTTGGTAAAAATTCAGTTCAGAGTGTAGACTGTTCTGGAGCTTGGAGCTGTGTGGTTTTGACCTTCTTGACCCCTCAGCCTCTTGTATAGCCCCAGGGAGGGTGGAGTCACTTAAGTGGAGCCTGTAACCTATTTGTTTTATTTCTAGGTGATTGAGGCTGACCACAACTTGGAGAAAATGTTAGAACTCTTTGAACAAAACCGGGCCCGAATATTAACTCCAGACAATTGGAAGCATGGCCCGTAGGACTGGACATGGCCGCAGTCTACATGACAGTGTCAGGAGTAGTCCAGAAGGGCCACATTAGCTCTTTAGAAGCATTTGGAAGAATCTACTCTCAGGAGCGTCTGTTACCTGGTCAGATCTATTTTTGTTATGTTCTTTTCATTTTGGGACAGATGGCTTTTGTCATCAGATCCTTGCAGCACACATTCCCCCTGGTACCCCACCTGGTGGCTTCCTGAGACTGAAACCCTTCGCTGTGTCCCTGGTGGTGGTCTAGCTGCTATGCATCAGGCCACTCAGTGGGCCAAGGGAGCAGTCTTCCATCATAGGTAAGGATTTGAAGGTCGGAGAGGTGCAGGGACTCTTCAAGGTCATATAGCCAGTGCATAAGGGAGCTGGCACCATCAGACACCTGGCTTGGGCTGCCTCCCCCTGAGCTGTTTCTGTTTAGGCCTGCTGTTCTGAGCTCCAGCCCCCCATGTCTTTGTGAGAGGAGCTGGCAGAATGTGGTCTCTATCACATTTCACTACTGGGCAAGGTTCAAGGAGGATCGACATTACTAGTCTTTGGCACGCCTCTGTTATTTGCCCCAAGCCCAGTGTTTCCTGGCATGAAGGTGCTGTGGCCTCTACTATTTTGTCATCTGGATCTCAGTGTCCATAGGGGAATCCCTCATTGGCCTTTGGATGGTGCCAGTGTCATTGAGGATGAAGGCCCTTCCCAGACTGCTGCCAGTTTTTGTCATTCTGTGTCAGAAAAAAGACTTTTGGGACTTGGACACTTTGCCCTGTGCTGAGTGAGGCCAAGGGCAGCCAGCTGGGCTTCGCAGGCCCCATCACTCTCTCCTGTCCTTGTGTGAGGAACAGGGCCCTTGGAATTACTGAGTGTTTGTGCCCCAGGGAGAGAGACATGGTGGCTTTAACTCTTTTGAAGTGTTTTTCCATCTGAGCGGATGTCTTGGACCACAGAGCACAAAGCCATCTCTATTGGATCAGAAAATATCTCAACTTTGTGGGCCATAATTGCACACTGAAGGTGCAGCTGCTGCTTGAACCAGTCGAGACCAAGAGGAAGCCAGACTGTTCCTCTGGGGGACAGTGGGACTGGGACCCAGTCAGGGCTTGCAAATAAAGGCATTTAAAGTCTTGCAGCTCTTGACTTTCTGGAGTTGATGGATGCATCTGGAGAAGACTGGATGCAGACTCAGGGAAATACAGCATGGTAGGCTGCTGATGAACGTGTGTCTCTCCATAGGTGCCTGGTAAGCCTGGCGGCCTCAGAGAGGGCCAAGAGTCCAGCTGTTGCTCCTTCCTGTTTGGACCAATTCTTGGGCCCTTTGTGTAGTAGGAAGGAAAGTGCTAAGGTGACCGTCCGTCAGTACCTGCAGTCTAACAGGGATAAACCATAAACCCGAGAAAGGCAGGAACCTTTGTACCAGCAGTCTTGACATCTTTCGAATTTACAAATTGGCAGTCCCAGCACTTGTCCCTCTGCTTAATGATAGCACGTGTTTTGGGAACAAATGTGACTTTTCTCTTGCTCTATGGTAGCCAATAAATTCTACATCTAAACCCTGATGTTAATTTTCTCTTTCATTTTCTTTTCTTTTTTTGAGTTAGGATCTTACTTTATAGTCTAGGTTGGCCTCAAATTTACTGTATAGCCCAGGCTGGCCTTGAACAGTGGCCTCAGCCTTTTGAGCGCTAGGATTGCAGGCATGTGCCACCATGTCTGGCTTATATGCTCATTTTTAATTTAATGTAATTTTTTCTTTTTTAATGTATTTGTTTTGCCTGTATGTACATGTGTGCCTGGTGACCATGGAGGCCAGAAGAGGGCATTGTATCCCTTGGGACTAGAGTTATAGGCAGTTGTGAGTTGCCATGTGGGTGCTAGGAATTGATCCTAGGGTCCCTAGAAGATCAGCCAGAGCTCTTAATCACTGAGCCAGCCCCATGTGTTCATGTTTAAAATACCATGTTTTCTAACAGTGTGCCTGGTCCAGAAAGAGCCTGCTGTCCTTGTACCTTGACTCCTCAGATAGGAAACCATCTATAGCAGTGGCTAGGGTTGTTTGCCGAAACCTTCCAGCTCAGAGATTGCTGCTATCTATCAGGCAGATCTGGTGGGGTAGGGGGTGACGGAGCAGTTACCAGCACTAACATCTCTTGGCCAGAAAAGGCCAGGTAGCACGTGGTAAGTCATAGGGCCTAGTTCTTAGACACAGGGCATTGCTCCCTAGAGTGCCCTTGAGTGGCTGGTAGAGCATGGTAGGGGCTGGCCTCCCTGAAGAGTCAGAGTGTCCTTGCTTTGACCCTAAGACCAATGCAAAGGCAAGGCATGTGAGCACCTGCATCTCCATACCCTGTCCCCAGCCTGCTATGGATGTCACCTGCTAAGGCTCTTCATGCCTCATGCTTGAGATTTATCAGCCGCAGAAGCATGCGCTGCTGGCAGTGTGGGCGCGTTGGAAGAGCCAGGCCAAGCTCTGACTAACCAAGGACCAGCAGGGGCAACAGCTTGTGGACAGTTGAGGTATGCTCTGCATTGTCTCTCAGGAGACAATGGCTCAGAGTGGTACAGTTCACAGATGTGCCCTTTGCCGAATCTCCTCTCTTCCTCATCCCAGTTCCTTTACCTGCTTCCTGGGATCGCCTCCCAAATGAGCCACTTATACCCAAATCCAATGCTGAGTACTGCTTTGGGGGCAAGTTCGAACCCAGAATCCCTCCTCTCCTCCTTCCCCCATGCCTTCCTTCCTCACCGCTTTCCTCACACCCAATACTTATCAAGCTGCTCCTTCAGCCCCTCATTCCTTCCATCTGGGTCAGATTCAGAAGCTGCAGATTCTCAAACAGTCCTTTGTGAAAAATGATCTGGGGCCAGATAAGGGAAACACTGTGCTAAGAAGGTCCTCTTGCTTCTTGCCTCTAGGATTTCTCAGACTGAGTAGCACGCAAGTCGGGTATGGACTTTTTGGAGGGAGGGAAATGGATGGTACTTCCAACCTCTTGGACTCTGGCTTCCTAAATAAAAACAAACTTTATTTTGAACTATGTATATGGCAGCATATCTGTGTGGCACCCCAAATGTGTACATGTGTACAGTACCCAGAGAGGGTCTTGGATGCCCTGGAGCTGGAGTTACATGTGGTTGTGAGCCGCTGGATGTTGGTGCTGGGAATCAAATTTGGGTTCACTGTACAATCCTGCTTCTTCTTCCCTAAGGTCCTCAAGCCAATTGTGTTTTCAAAGCTCCTTTGTCAGGTAAGGTGAAGCAGGCAATCTAGGGAGAGTTCAGTAACTTGGGGCTCTTCTGGTATAGACAAGGCACACCTCCCTCTTCTAGTAACAATAAGTGGCCTAGCTCCCTTACATGCACATACTTATGCACACCCCCCTCTGTAACCAGGTAGCTAGCAACCTTGGTTCACCACCTGTGTTGGATTGCACACACTCTCCTGAAACAATGGGATGAGTTTTCTCTTTACCAAACAACAATTAGACAGTTTCTATTCAAATATATTTCCAATGTGTCTTGGTATGAAGACTAGAAAGGCTGATCAGACCTCAACTGGTTTTGGATGTACATGCAAGATAAGGCAAAACTGTGTCCTGAAGTAAGCTTTTAGGGAGAGTCCTCTATTTTTACCATCTTATGCCTATGCATAACAGGGTGTATATGATGAAAGTCAGATGCATTATGGGAAGGGGTATGCACAGCAGGAAGATGATTAGATGACCAAACCTATCAGTTAAAACAGAGCCATCCTCACTCCGCCTCTTAGAAACAAATGCTTCATTTTCTTGGGTACCATAAAATGAAGCCCTGAACAATCACTGGAGCCTTGAGTATCCTCAATCATGACAGTGTGTCCCTCTAATCTGTACCATCACTTTGCTCTGATTAAAGTTACTTGCTATTTTTATTTTTTGCAAATTGGCGTGAGCCCTTATTTTCAATTCTTTGGATAAGAGGTCAAGAACCTAGAAATACCTGACCCAACCCTGAAAGCCCTGACCACCAGTAAGAAAGGTAGGACACTCAAAGGTTCTGGGATTAGGATGCAAGCATCTTTGAATGGGAGGAGAGTCCCTCTTTGGTCTATCATCCCAAGTCTAGCTGATATTCAAAGCTGTACTTGTCCAACATTGTGAAACTTTGTAGTTGAGTATGGGAGACTTCTTGACAGGGATATGCAGGACTAGGTCCTTGCGTTGTCTTGAAGGGCCTGGTCTCTGGGCCAAGAAGTGCGTATGTGAGAGAGACATGTAAAATGAGTCTCATCTCTCTTGTTTTTCGTTTGTTTTGTTTTTTAGGCAGCGTCTTGTGTCACCCAGGCTGGCCTCAAACTCAGGATGGAGCTGAGGCTGGTTTTGAACCGATTCTCTGGCCTCCATTTGAGTGCTGAAATTCACTCAGGTGTCTTACAGACACGCACCACCACATTTGGCTTCCTGTCTCCTTCATTCCTTGGCTCCAGGCAGATTGGTTCCTTGAAGAGAAGGCTAGAGTGGCCTTTCCCTAGCCCAGACCTCACAAATTGGCGGACCCAGTTTCCTCCCTCTCCTGCTTTTCTTCTGTTTACGTTTGATTTCTTACTGAGTTAACCGTTTCCCCCAACCTAGATAGACATTTCAGCCCCCAGCACTTGGAAACTCATTATGCCTAAGAGCCACCCACCTCTTCCAGGTCTCAAAGGTAGGCTGTGATTGGAAGGGGGAGTGAAAACATCAGGCATGGTTCCTGAAGTCCTCCCTCTTTGGCCTCCCATGTTTGAACCTGTCCTGCTTCTCCATGGCAGCTTTCTCGCCTGATGTGTGGCTCCACATTGGCCCGCTGCAGCCTGGTGTGTTTGTTGTTCAGAGAACTAGTTCAGCTTTCTGAGCCCTCAAGAGAAGCTGCTTTCACTAGCTGCCCATGTGCTTAGCTTTAGGGGAACAGTGGGGATTAGCAGAGAGGTGGGACAACGGATATCCGAGGATGGCTTTGATCTCAGTAGACTGGGGAACCTTCCCTTCAACATCTCCTAAGGTCCCTGTATACCCTATGAACTTGGGCTTACTGTAAGAGGGAGCGGGGAGAGTCAGTTAAAGGTGCTACCTGGGCAGAGGGTCCCAGGTCTGAGACTCAGCACTTAATTGTCATCAAGCTCATGCATAACACCATGGGAAGGGCAGTTTTCTGTAAGAATAGAGCTATATGTTGTTACAGGTTTTCTATTCCAAAGCCCCATTCACTCCTGTTGGGCTCTGTGCTGGACCACCCACTGAAGAGAAACCAGCCCTGGTCCTGGAACCCCAGTTTCAGGCAGACAACTCAAGACACTCAGGAACAATCCAGGAAGGGATAGGCTGGAAGGAGGAGAGACAAGAGTCCCAGTGAGATAGTCCTGAGGGAGAAGACAGTCCCTGGACTGTAGCCTCAGGCCCTATGTGACATCACAGATTCATGCCTTAGACCTTTGTCCAAATTTATGTTCTTTTTCAGAAGCAAAGCTGTATAATAACTGTGGATGACTGTGAGGGATATCTTGTGAGGGTCTTGTACATCCAAAACTCATACAATGGCTTTAGGATGGAGTCTGGCTATTTCCCTGTAGCTAGACATGATGGACATTGGAGTTGAGCCTCTCTGGGCACAACGCCCCCTTTCCACCACCTTCCACCCAACAGAGAAACCTTGGGGGTAAGAGACAGGATGGATTCAGAATGGTACCTACCTGGAGGCCAATTCTGACTTCTTCATCTGCTATGGGCCTTGGCCAGCAATCATCTCCTGCCTTGCCTTTCTGGGCATTTGTCCTCACCTCTAGTTGGTGATCACTGAGACTGGTGGTTGGTGGGTAGAGCCAGGATGGGTAGGGCATGGTGGAGAGGGCCAAGATGGGTAGAGTGGTAGGTTGGACATGTGGGTAGGATGATGGTTAGGGTAGAGGAGACAGACTAAAGCCTGATGTTCTTGTGAGTGTATAGTCCTCTTTATCTTTTTATCTCGTCCTCTCTTTTGGAAAATCCATCCCAGGATAGAATATTTTGTTCACCTTCCTTAGAGTGGCATATGTCCTCTGGCCAGAGATAATCAGAGACCCCTTGCCTTGTCCCCAGCCACAGCCACTGAGAGGTTCCAGGAAAGTCCTGTTCAGGCCATTCTGATTTCTGCGAGCTAGTTATATTTGCTTTCTGGCAGAGACAGAGGGTCTCATCATTTTGGCTCAGGAACCAACCAACTCAGACATGGGATGTCCACTGCCATTTTTCTAATGGGAGAATGGAGACAATGAGGTGGTCAGAGTCCAGAGAGACAGTATACCAACCCATGTCCTTTGATTTTCTGGATCCACCCATACCTAAAATCTGATTTATCACTTGAATAATTTAGGTACATGAACCAATAAGTATTCTTTCCTGCCTCTTGCAATTGAATAAAGGGGAGAGTGATGGTTGGTGATCAGAGCCTGTCAGGGGGTCAAGCTCTCCTTTTCAATAAATAACAACCTATATTACCCTACAGTTGCTCCCCAAGCCCTGAGGTGTCATGCTGAGTGGCAGTTTTGTGGCTGAGGCTGTGATAACAGGGCTGCCACCTTGGGATTTCTTGGAGATATGCTGGGCAGATACAGCTATGCTACAGCCTGTGGACAAAGGTCTGCCGAGCCTCCAAGCTCAGGTTCGCTAGCCTTGCCTAGATAAGGGCTCCTGGGCTCCAAAGAGTTAGCTTGGGCTTGTGAAATATGCAGCTCAGCAGAACAGAACCCAGGACAATAGATCTTCTCCCTCCGATGATAAAGCTGTGGCCTTTCTGCTCATGTCCAGTCCCTGGACAACCATGTTAGTGTCAGGGGATGAAGATGGGAACATACAAGCATGAGTGTGGGCTGCATTAGTATGTGCAACATCTGGGTGTGCAGATGGAAGCTCTGCATTCAAGAGGTATTAGTGTGGGCACCAAGGCTGTCTGAGTAAATGTGTATGAAGCCAGAGGAGGTGGGAGTTAAGCAATGGTGCCGTGTGTGTGTGTGTGTGTGTGTGTGTGTGTGTGTGTGTGTGTGTGTGTGTGATACCTAGCTATACAAACGTGGTTTGCATGAATGCAGGCTTAACCCAGTGATGGTAGATGTTGCATGAGGTGGCCATGGACTGCCGTAGCCTTACTAGTGTCTTGTTCTTCCGTCTTTGCTTGGGTGAGGCCTGTCACTCAGCTGTGGCAGAGGCCTTTGGTGCTATCCAAAGCCTGGGACTTCCTGTGTCCATCCATAATGACTCAGCCACTGTATGGCTTTGTCTGCCAACAGCTGTGACTTCCTGGTATGAAGTCCTCCTCTGGTCAGAAGAGCCTGCCTGGCAGGAACCAACACTCTATGAAGGGAAGCCTCCAAACAGTGCTGCTGAGAGCCAGGTATGAGTGACACAGATCGGTCACCTCAGAGAGCCTGAGTTCAAGGCATGGTGTGCCATTATCTCTTGGATTGCCAGTGGGCTAGAGGTTGGTGGCCCACATCCCCCCAGGCTTCCTCCCCCTCCTTTCACTGCCCTGAGGCTACTATATCCCTACCCAGCCCTTTGGTCAGTATGGCTGTGTTCTAGGATCTGGTCCTGCTTCCTCCTAGCACACCATCTGAATGGTGGACCATCACATCCCATCTCCTGGGGATTTCAGGCACCCAACTGTTCTCCTTGGGCCTTGTTTCCTGGAAAAGAGAGGAGTCAAACTCCTTGTTGGATCGCACAGTCTTGAGCCTGATGCCCACAGCCCAAGGAGTGTGTGGATGGAAGAGATAGGGAGAGCCATGAGGCTGATCGTCCCAGGAACTTAGATTGAGTGTCAGTGTAGGTGGTCTGGGTGGGAGTCAGCATGTGACTGGACACCATCACCATGAAGGAGGAGGAGCTCCAGAGTGGAGCCCAAGAACATATAAAATGGGGGGAGAGGGGTAAGTATTTTGCATAGAGAGAGGAATGCATAGCCAACAGGAATTCCCAGAAACCAGGACTGAGGGATAGAGTCTCCTCTAGAAAATGAGCAAACAGGTTCAGCCTCACAGAACATCTCAGTGGCAGAAGACAAGCCCAGGATCCAAGTGTGATGTTCAGCGTACAGCTCTGAGTGTCCCATGGCAGGAGTTGCCTCTCTCTTCTAGTGTGGACTCTGTGACAATGAACAGTGGCTGCAGGGAGCCAGCAGGTGGCAGTGTGGGCTTGAGTGTGGACAGTGCTGGCCAGCAGGCCTACATTTCTCCAGCACAGACATGGGCTTTCCAGAAGGAGCCTGTGGGTTTGGCTCACAATTGCCTGCCCCCCTGCCCCTGCTTGTTTAGGATGACACCCCAATTTTAGGGCGTGATCTTGGGAGCTAGGCCTGTGCTAGTGCACTGGAGTTCTAGTGGAAGGGAAACGTGTCCAAGAAAGGAAGTCAGGCTCCGTCTGAAAAGAGGTCACCAGGAAAGGCCTCCGTCTGAAGGGTGATGGGAAAGAGGAGTGTTTCTGCAGAGAGGAGCCGGAAGCACATTTCTGTCTGAATGGCATTTCCTACTGTTCTGGGAAGGATACGCCTTCAGAGTACTGAAGGCCAAAAGGTGGTGGTACCCAGTGTACTTGGAATCCAGTCCTGAAATTGGTTGCTCATCGTAGTCACACTAATATCAGGCAGGCCTCAGAGAAGTTACACTATGTTTCACAAAAACGTAAAAAGGGGGCTGGGGAGATGGCTCAGTCAGTAAGGTGCCTGCCGGGCAAGCGTGAGTTCAGATTCCCAGTGCCACAAAAAAAGCCAGGTACCATAGCATGGGCTGGGAGGTGGAAACAGGAGGTTTTGGGGACTTGGCTAATCTAGACTAATGGGTGTCTCCAGGAACTAAGGAAGCAGAGACAGGAGGATTGCCAGCTGGGTTACATAGTAAAATCTTGTTTCAAAAAGTAAATAAATAAATAAATGAAAGCAGAGATACCAAAAAGGAACTCCTAGACACTGACTATGCAGACTGCCCCGTCTGCCAGAGCACAACCTGGCCTCACGGGCTCAGACCTGAGGAGCAGCCAGCCAGGCACGTCAACATTCAGAGGCAGATTTAAAATTGCTTCCATTTAGGGGTTCCTTTCCTCTCAGTTTGCAGCCGTCAGGAAACCTCCAGGGCCCCCACCAGGGCCCCCACGCACTCCTTGCAAGCGTTACTTCTCTCTACATCTTTGTTGATAGGATGTATTTATTTTGAACACAGAAAAGATACATTGCTGCTTATTCAGCCTCATCTGGGAAGGAGAACCGCTGTTCTGTAGATCCCTCCAACATGATGAGTAGGCAGGGATGGTTTTTCTTCCCCCGGCACGTTCCAGAGCCACAGAAACAGACTGCATTTCTTGAAAGACTTTCATCCCTGGGGTGCATTTGAAAGGCTATACAGTACAACAGACATATTTTTGCCTAGAAAGCAGAACACCACAAAGGTGGGCAGAACTGCTTGTAAACAAGGTTCCCTCCCCCAGGTGGAGAGACTGTGACTCTAGGATGCCGCTTGCAGGATGCTACAGAACTCGTGGGTGGATTCCTTTCCACTCTGCGTCAGAATAAATGCGATTTCTATAGAAAATAAAATTCAAGATAGCCGTCCTTGCCACCCCTCTGCTTAAGAAAGGGAGTGCTGAATTGTCTTAGCCCTTCATTGGAGAAGTTGAAATGTGGGAGGCGGATCAGTGGGGGTGGGTCTGCTGCTTTGGGATGAGTGACAAAAGGTGGGGAGTGGGGGAGGCAGGGTGTCTTGCTCCCTGTCAGTGGCAGTGCTGGCAGGGCTCTCCTCAGAGATGCTTAGCCACCACCTTTGGCAAGCTGGCTCTTCAAAGATCACCTCTGTCACCTTATACAGTCTTTGATGGAGATTGCTGGAGTTTACAGGCCAGTATCTGAGCCTTTCTCCAGCCTGCTGTCCCCACATGCCTGCTTCTGTGACAGGATGTTGGCCGCAGACACTAGTCTTCTCATAGTGGCATGGTGTTTTTTGTGGGGTCCATATTCTTTTTATTTTTTGTCTCTGCGTATGTCCCAGAGAGACAAGGCCAGAATTCGTCACCTCAGTCCCCAGCTGTGAGTTGCCACCCTGAATAACAGCACTGGCTCTTGGGTTAGCTTGAGATCTCTTGGACTGAGACTAGCAGGGCTGGCTGGGCACTTACTGAGCAGCGGGCCCTTCTGTGCCTCTGAGGAGTGTCTAGGTAGCCCTGTGTTGAGGCTACCCATACCTTGTCTTCCTTGAACTCCCAATCCTGGCATGGACATGGGAAGAACTGTGACCCTCCTCCATGACACATGCCCAAGGGCCTGTCCTCCCCCTGTCACTTGGGGTGGGTGTCTGAGCTAACCCCACTAGCACCGCCAAACTGAGGACATTGAAACAGCAAGGGGCTCGGTGGGCTCTGAGGACCTCCAGGTCATGCCTAGGCCACCAGACCGGTTTCTCCACCCTGTAAGTGGCAGGGTGATGACATTGTGGCTCTTCTGACCTGGAGTGGAAAGATAGGCACAGTGCACAGGGGGACCTCACTGGGACCTGTCTCAGCTCCCAGTGGGACAAGCCCTAGGGTAGGGCTTGTGGCAAGAAGTGGGCCAAGCAGTTTCTGCAGGAGAATCAGATCGTGGCCACAGTCTAGAGGAGGCTGGGGGAGAGGGAAGAAAGTAGGGATTCCTACCTCACCTCTGCCCAGCACTGTTCAGAGAGGTACTACCACCAGGTGCAAGGCTTTGGGGGAAGAGGCACCAGATGGAGACACTTCATCTAAAGAAAACCTTCCAGGCGAGTTTTTGTGGGAGTGGGACCTGTGTATGTACAGGTGTCTATATGTGTGCGGCTTGTGTCAGTGTGTGCATTTGGGGGATGCCAGTGTTTGTGTGTTCTCATATATATGCATGTGCATGAGTTGTGCGCACCTGTGTGTCTGGAGGAGATAGGGTAGCCTAGAAGGACCAGTAGGACTTATGGGCTGGGTCACTCACACAATCCTCTCAGGGCTGGCAGTCGGAGCCTGGGTTGGGGTGGGTGAGCCCCGGGAGTTAGGTGGCCGTGGTTCTGGTCCTGGCAGTGGCAGCAGGTCAGATGGGGAGCCTGCGCCACACACAGCTTCATAAGGTGGCAGCGTGTCCATGGAGACAGCGTGGAGGCCACTCTGGCCCTGGGTCCTCTGCTCCTGCTGATGTTGGCTGTGGCCGTGGCCGCTGCCTGAGTTGAGGGCACCATTCAGCATGAGGCAGGAGTCAGTCAGCGAGTAGGGTGGTGGTGCATCCGTGGGGACGTACAGCTGAGTGGCCCCTGGTCCCACACACTCCTCATAGCTGCGAGAGAAGAGTTTTCACTCAGGTTATGGATCCCAAGACCTTAGGGCAGGTGGAAGAATCTATTCTGTGTGGTGAGGAGCTGCCCTCATTGTGGGAGACGGCCAGCCTCACTCATGCTGGCTCCTAGGAGACCACACTGGTCCCCAGGGAGGATAGTCTGATACCCTTCAGACATGGATCCTGGGTCAACTTTACTTCACATCCCAGGTGAACCCAAGCAAATCCCTACACCTTTCTCCCTGGGGGTTTTAGACTCCCTGAAGCAAGAGCAGCCACTGTCTAGGAATAGTCCTAGGCTGGGCACTGTGATAGGACCCCCTGAAATGTCTTGTAGGGTTAGGAAGGAGCCCCTGGGGCCCCTGAAACGGTAGCTTTCGAGCTCAGAGCATCTACTGCTTCTCCTGGTGCCTCCGGTGGGAGGGAAAAATGACATTTGCCAGGTCCAGGGTCTGCAGTGGGGAAGTGACAGGACTCTCAGCCCCTGCTCTAAATGATGGGCACTGCAGGTGGCTGGGACAACTCAAATGCCCAAGAAGGCACTGTCACTTCACGGGGTCTGATGCCCCAATGAAGGCTGGCCATGATAATTCCTGTCCCAATGGGAGGGTCTTGGAATCGGGGGCTATATGGGGCTCTAGATGCTCCACTCCAAGAGCAGAGGCCTAGTGTCCAGCAAGCGTCCACCCATACCTCTCCCTTGTCTGACCACTGTCCTTGAGTCTCCTGGAGCAGTAGACTTAACTCCTCTTCCTCAGACTCTACAATCTATTTCCTTGTGTAAAGTAGGATGGGTCATCCAATTTATTGGATTTTTCTTGGTGAGAAGAAGGCACTGTGGGTAGTTGGGGGCATGGTTCAGAGCTGGACCAGAATCCTATAGCTCCTGAGGGTGTGCCCTGAGAACATCACCTCCCTGACCCCCAAGGAGTTCAACAGCTTTAGCCTGTATGGGGAAGGAATTGGGCTCTATAAGGTACCCCTTTTGTCCTTGTGGTTCATCTAAAGGACAGGGCCAACAGGGGCTACTTTGATTGATGTAGAGGTGCACAGGGGTAGAGTCTGGGAGGAAATGGGGGGCTCTCTGTGAGTCAGAGCTGTCTAGGTTCATATCAGACAAGGGTGGGCTGATGAAAGCCTAACCTGCCTGGGCTGAGATTGGGACCCGGATGGCCTAAGGCAAGAGTATGAGAAGATGGGGACAGGACTGGAAAGGCAGGGTCTCATGCACACCAATGATGATAGGGGCTAGCCAAGCCTGGGGACTCTGGCTGCAGCTGCAATGTGTGAGAAAGACTGATCTCACAGTAGGCATGGATTCCTGGTGTCACAAATAGGAACTCAAGAGATTTTTCTCCTTAAATGGACACTGATCCCATGGTCATGATCCTGAATATCCCACCATTTTTGCCCCTGGAGGAATTGATAGGGGCTCCCCAAAACTGTCATGAGACCACCCCAAAACTACAAGTCTCCCTCCCCACCACCCACCAGCCTGAAGAATCTCAGCTGGTCTCTGTAGTTCATCCTGGTGACATTTCCTGAGTCATGCCCATCTTCAAGGGGACTTGCTTTGTCAGAGGGCAGAGGCTGTGGCCATGCCCACTGGATCCCAGGGAAATGAGGTTCTTTCCCTGGGTGGGAGATCCTTTTATCCAGAGGGTCCACTTCTCTCCCCATCATGAGGCCCCCTTACCCTGGTGGAGAATCTGGGTACAGCTCCCTGAGCACTGTGACATCCACATCCCCATCAGAGCTGATGTCCAAGGGCGGGGGCCAGTCCTCAGCAGGGCTACAGGCATAGGACATCCTATGACTGGAGTGGCTGTGCATATGTCCGTCAGATGCTGCAGAGAACAGAAGTGTAGGCAGTGCTAGGGACTTCCCTCATAGTAGCAGTCCATCTGAGGCTCGGAAGTCCCCACACGACCATCCCCTTACCAGGCATGGCTGTCTCTATCCCAGGCAATGCCACTAGAATGTGAGCACTGTGCCGTTCTGGGAGTGGGGTCACCGGGAGGAGACAAGGCTGGACCTATCTTGAGGAGCTTCCAGGATGGATGACAGCTTAGCCCAGGGCAGCCTTGGCACTGGATGGCATGTGTTAAGCTTTAATAAGTTAGTACAGGACTGTGGGAGAGGAGACGTGTGTGCTCGGCACACATGTGACTCCAGAGACTAGTTCCCACTCCTCATACAGACTTGTCCTTCCTCTTGACCCAACAGCAATAGAAGAGTATAGATCAGGAACCATATCCACAGGCCCAATTCTGGGGTTATTCATGGGAACTAAGAAAACTCTCAGAGGAAATACATCCATTTATTATTGGTGGCTCTGCCCATCTGGCAGGTCATGACCCTTATTTTATCCTTCATATTGCCTATATTTTTAAGGTTTTCTACAATGACTACATATTGCTTTTCTGCTAGAATAAACCCAATCACAGGCTGTGCAAGAGGAGCTGAACTGAGATTTATTCCCCTTTGGGGTGTCAGCTGAAAGATGGGAGCTTTGGAACAATGTGGGAGAAGAAAGCCAGGAGAGACGAGACAAACAACAGAACAGAAGCCAGGCCGGGGTTGCTGGGCACTGGAGCTGGGGTCCTGTATTGCCAGTGTTGTCCAGAAGAATCTCTGGGCTCAGGCACAGGATGGATCCACTTGCAGAGCTGGAGGTTGCTGTACTTCCTTCTGCAACCCCACCCCCACACCCCGGCTTGGGAACTGTAGTCCTCACCCTGGTTCTAAGCCTTGCCACAAAGACTCGTGAAGATCACTCCTTCCATAGCCTCTGGAAAACCTTCTTTGGTCTGAGTGCAGGTGGGGTGAACCACATGTAGGCCATAGTCTCATGGATGCCACCCCTGTGACTAAGGCTGGAGGTGTGGGTATGAGAACAAGGAAGAAGAAGATTCCCATTTCACTTCCCTGGTAGTGATAAGGAGGGCTGGAGATGTTTCCCAAAGGAAGTAAGCAGCCTTTGAGTCAGGCCTGGGCAGCTTCAGAACAGTGGTTGGGCAGAAGGAAAGCACGTTCGAAAGGGTGGATGCTGAAGGAGCAAGATCAGGTGCATGGCGGGGGGACTAGGTGCTGAGTGGGAGGAGCAGGGGGGCATGAGGGGTGTACTGGGTCTACCTAGCATCATCCTGGGGTAGGGGACAGTTAAGATAGTACCCAGGCTCCTCATGGGAGCATAGGTCATGTCAGCCTGGTCTGGGCTCTACTCTTGTCTGCTAGGGATTGCTTAGCCCCTGGGAGACTCGGGGCCTGGGCTGGCTGAGCTTCCTTGCTGGTCCGTACAAACCTGCTGACCTTTCTTTCTAGTCCCAGCTGGTTCAGAGCATGTCACTAACTGACCATCGTTCTTCCATCACCACTAGGTCACCCTGACAGATGACAGCCCTCCCAGCACTGTCTAAGGCCTGGTCTCTTGCTTCTCTCTAGACTTTCCCAGAGCAGCAGCATCTACGTCTGAAGGGCCCTTAGCATCCCAGTGTCTGCTGGACCTAGCCCTAAGCCCACAGGTGGCCCATTAGGGCTGTGCAGGGGTCAGTCTGAGTGCACCCAGGTCAGCTACCAGGGCTCACATCTCTATCTGCCTCTTACAAGAGGGTGGCCCCAGGTCCATTGTTCCACTGCTCCAATCTCAATTTTGGATCAGCAAATTTCTCATGGGTGGGGAACAGAGCTAGCTACTGAAGACTGTCAGGAGGGGGATTCTGCAAAACGAGATAATACAAAGGAAGTTCCAGGCACAGGTAAGTGCTCTTACCCACCAGCCCTCTGTGTTAGCTTCAGGTGTCCCTTAACTGCTAACAGGTGGCTGGCCCTGCTGGTTCTTTCTTGCTCCCAGGCTCCTCCTGCCTTGGATGGGGAAGGCCATTCAGGTCCCACACAAAACTTGAGCCATAGTGAGAAGACCCCTCAGGGTCTTGCACTCTATGGGCCAAGCCTGCCTTCCCCCCTAATTGGGGGCAGGTGGTCTTCACTCTGGGTAGTGGCCCTGGCTGCCCCTGTGAAGATTCCCATGGGCCTTGTTCCTGCCATGGAACACTGCCTCAAAATCAACCCATTCTGCTTCATTTAGATCATTCTGGTCTCTTCCAGGAATGAGATCGAGTCAGGTGGCCATGTTCTGTAAAAGTTTATGCATTCTGACAAGATGGACACTCCAGGAACTGGTCCCCTGCCCCGGTAGCCACTGTTGTAGGACAAGAAACCCTGAAATAATTTGTTTTTTTTCCTTTGTGGGCTCTCAGTGGTAGATTTTTCACTGATCATTCATTCTATCATCCATCCATCTATTTATATACCTACTCATTCTATTTCCACCTGTGCCTTAAGTTCTCATTTATCCATCTTTCCATCCTTTACTCACCCAGCCCCTCTATGTCACTCAAGCATGCCACTTAATCCACCCATATATCCATCCTCCTACCCCCCATTTCTCTATTTCTCCATTGGTCTATCCATCCATCATACACATTTACCCATCCATCTCCTCCACCCATCATCTATCCACAGATCTATGCATCCCTTATGTACTCATCCCTCTACTGGTCTAGTCTACTCACCAATCTCTCTCTCTGTCCATTCATTCACTCATCTATCAATCTTTCTACTCATTTATTTCTCCTGTCATCCATATCTCCACTTATACCCACGCACCTGTCCCTTTCTTATCCATCTGCTCATCTACATTACTTATCCTTCTATTTATCTATGCATCCGCCTGCCTATCTCTCCATTTATCCAGTCACCCATCCACTCACCCAGTCTTCCATCTCTCTACGCATCCATTTTCACTCATCTCTCTACTTACTCACCTCTCCATTTGTCTATCCACCTATCTCTCTACTCACCCACCCACCTCACCATCTCTCTATTCATCCTATCACCCCCCTAGCCACCTACTCACAAATCCATCTTTCCATCCTCCATCTCTCTATCTCTCCATCCATCCATCCTCCCATCCAGATGCCTGCTGGACCTGTGTCAGCACAGCATGAACCAACAGTGGTAGTGGCTGAGGAGTATGGCACACTCTCCATCTGGCCTTCAGCCTCTCCCTAAGTCCTTCTCTTGACAGACTACAATGCCTTTCATGCTATGGGGGGGGGGGGCATGATAGTGGACGCCTGTCAGCTCTTCCTGATGGACCAGGATACTTTCCTGACCCCATGGCAGAGCTGCCACCCCCTTGTACACCTCCATAAGTCAGTCACAGTGGCAGGAGTAGCATGACCCAGAGCTCACCTTGGCCCTGTTCGCATTCTCGGTGTCGGCGCCGGCGGTGGCGGTGGTGGTGATGGTGGCGGCGGTGGCGATGGTGGTGTCGCTGGATGCGGGCTTGTCTGTCCCTTCTGATGCTTCCCACAATGATGGTGATGCAGGAGAGGGTGATGACCACACCTATGACAGCACTTGCCACTAGCACCGGAGACACCAGCAGGTGGCTGTGCTCAGAGCTCTCGGAAAATGTGGTGGGGTAGAAGTAGCTGGTGCGGTTGTACCGTGCTACTGCGGACAGAGAGAGGGGACACTGAGCTGGGTCTCAGGCCTGCCACATACCTTCCTCCTTCAACCCCACCATCCTGGGAGTCATATATCCCTAAATAAATGGAGGAGAGTCAGGATCAGGCTTCTCATCTTGGTTGCTCCTGCTGTGGGTTAGGGAAGCAGGACTCCATCCAGCTGCCTACAGGGGCTTCTGGTGTTTGTAGGCTATCCTCCTTCATTTCTCATGGCCCTGCTGCACCAGGAGCCCAACTAGCCCACAGATAGGAAAACTCAGAAAGGGCAACGGACCTGCTCAAGGCAGAGCTGAGGCTCAAACCCAAGAATCTTAGTGGTAGACCAGGACTCTCTTCCACCAAGATGTCAGGTTGAAACATCTTTACCATAGTCTTGGGAAGGGGCAAGAGGTGTGCAGAAGGCAGGGTATAAGCACTTGGGGCAAGGGTCTCAGCCAGAGCAGCCACAGGCACCTGCCATATGGCTCGGGAATAGCCATCATCTTAGTGAGTACCATAGAATTCCTCCAGCTCGCTGAGGGTGGGTGGTGGTGCAGGTATCCCTCATCATAGACAAGGGGGGTGGGGCTCAATGCTGGAAGAGACTATCCCACAGCTAACTAGTTACTCTGTGGCAGAGCTAAGCTGGAAGTGTGGCTCCCAAGTCCAGAGGTCCCTCTCTAGCAACCCTGGCCCTCAGTGGGAGACTTCCCTGAGGTATATTTCCAACCTCCAGACAACAGTGGAACACAGATTCGTAGACTTCTTGGACCTCAGGGGCATGGCAAGCTTGGTGGGAAGTCAGGTCATTTCTGGGCTCTGTTCTGAGAGAGATTTCCATTTGTCTGCCTACAGCCCATGTTAGCTGCACCTACTGCTTAGGATTGTATGAGGTTTCCAGGCCTTGCATTTGATAACCCTTTGTGTCCTCATGTCCAGCAACCAGGCCGGGTATATCAAAGGTGCCTAATATGTGTTTGGTGTGAATGGATCCAGACTTGAGACCAGGTGGGAGAATGCCAGGGAGGGTTTGAGTTGCTTTGAAGGAGCAAGGCTTCTGTCTTGGGTGGTAAAGAAGTAGACTTGGAATGGAGACCTGCCTGGGTAGCTGCAGAAAGGCTTTTTATCCCATCTGAGGGTCTCTATACCCACCATTCAATGGTGGCTGCTTTTCTCTTCAAAGTCCTTCCCAGCACTTACCCTAAAGCCCCACCACACTCAGTCCCTAGTAAGGACAGGTGGGTAAAAGAAGAATTTGGGAGCTTAGCTGGAACTGGAACACGCTTAGCAGCAGTTTTTTTTTATTTTTTTATATTTATTTATTTATTTATTTATTTATTTATTTATTTTGGTTTTTCGAGACAGGGTTTCTCTGTGTACCTTTGCGCCTTTCCTGGGACTCACTTGGTAGTCCAGGCTGGCCTTGAACTCACAGAGATCCGCCTGGCTCTGCCTCCGGAGTGCTGGGATTAAAGGCGTGCGCCACCACCGCCCGGCTTAGCAGCAGTTTTGGCTCATGCTTTTGCAGCACACTGATAATCATCAGTAGGGGATGTGTCACTGTTAACCATGCCTGATACCCACACTTTGATTGAAGTTCAGTATAAAAAACTCCCTTGGTGAGATGTGCACCCCATGGTCCTAGCTAGGCATGCATGCCTCTTTTGTGTGCATTCCTTGTGTGTGTGTGTGTGTGTGTGTGTGTGTGTGTGTGTATGTATGTAGGCACACGTGAGCATGGGGTGCATGCATGTGGAAACCTGAGGCTGATGTTCAGAACCATCTTCTATTACTCTTCCCCCTTATTCATCAAAGCAGGGTCTCTCAATCAAACCCAGAGCTTGCTGCTATGGCTACTTTCAGTAGCCAGCTTACTCTGGGGATTCTCTGTCTCTGACTTACGAGGTTGGAATTCTATGGCCTGCCCACCTGCCCAGCTTTTATATGGGTTCAGAGGGTTGGAACTCCAGTCCTCAAACTTGTGTGGCAAGTGCTTTAACCACTGGTCATCTCTCTAGCCCCCACACACACTTGTTGATGCTCTGACACGAGAATGCTGATGTAAATGGATTCCTGGAATTCTGTGAGAACAAACGCCGGCCAGTTTTCAGAGGCCCTACTATGTGTAGGCTCAGTGCTAAGATCTCACTTCATCTTTGAGGTTATGTTCATTCAAGTCTTCCCATGTAGCGTGAGGACATCATGACTCAAAGATATTAGATAACGCACATGCCAATATGTAACTGAGGCAGGCTCTCTCTGGGCTGTGGTTCCTTCACTAAGTCAGGAGATAGATAAGAAGCTGGGAAGGGGATTACTATCATAGGGGAGGGCGAAGACAGAACTGAGTTATGAAAGAGTGTCAGTTACTTCTCACTGGGATTAAGTCTGGGATAAATATGAGATAGCTTTGGTAAGATGTATGTGGTAAGCCCTAGAAAAATCACTAAGTAAATGCAGTGGAAAAATCTTTTAAATGGATCAAAATATTATACTCAAAGTATTTAGTTATAGCAAAAAGTAGAAATAGAAGGGGGAAAGACATGAGACACAAAAAGTAAATTGGCATAGGTAAATACAGCTGTATCAATGGTCATGCTGAATGTGATCTGATTATCCAGCCTGACCAAGAGGCAGAGACTCCCAGTCTGGGCAAAAACTGTAACTATGTTACTGTCTGCAGGCATCTCATTTGGGAACCAGAGTCAAAAATGAAAGGATGGAAAAATAGATACTATGAAAACATAATTATAAGATGGCTGGAGTGGCTGTGATAATTAAGAAAAAGAGACTTTAAAACAAAAAGTCATTAGAAATAAAAGGGACATTTTATAATAAAATGATTAATCCACCAGGAAGCCACAAAACTGTAAACATATATTCACTTAACAAGAGAGTCCCAAAGTACATTAAGCAAAGGCTAAAAAACTGAGAGGAAATAGACACAGTACAACAACTGCTGGAACTTCAACGTTCCATTTTCTTTAAGATTAGGTAGAAGCCAGATGTAGTGGCACATACCTATAATCCCAGGACTTGAGAAGCAGTGACAGGAGAATCATAAGTTCGAATCCAGCCTCAGCTACATAGTGGGACCTTTTCACAAACCAAGGAATAAGCCAGCCAAGCAACAAACAAACAACTAAGCAGAAGAAATACAAGACTTGAACAAAATTATAAACAACTTCGACCTAACATACACCCACCGAACACTCCACTTGAGAATATGCATTCTTCTCTAGCACAATGGAATGTTCTCCAGAATGGTTCATAAGCTAGGCTGCAAGATGAGCCCCAATTTATTTAAAATGATCAAAATTGTACAAACTATGTTCTTTGATTACAAGGAAGATTAGAAGTGAGTAACACCAAGAAATTTGTGAAAAAATGTAGGAAGTAGGCAACAAATCAAGAAATAAATAACAAACTGGAGCGAAAGGCACAGGGGAAATTCAAGCATATGTTGAGATGGGTTAAAGTGAAAACCAGGATATCAGACCCTGTGAGATGATGCTAATGTAGTAGTTAAGGGATGTTTACAGTTTTAAGTATCTATATTCTTTTTAAAAAGATCTCAAGCCAACAAATAGTTTCTACCTTAGAATCCTGGAAAGAGAAGATCAAACTGAAGTCTGTGTAAGAAGGAAGGAAGGAGCCGGGCGGTGGTGGCGCACGCCTTTAATCCCAGCACTCGGGAGGCAGAGCCAGGCGGATCTCTGTGAGTTCGAGGCCAGCCTGGGCTACCAAGTGAGTTCCAGGAAAAGGCGCAAAGCTACACAGAGAAATCCTGTCTTGAAAAACCAAAAAAAAAAAAAAAAAAAAAAAAAAAAAAGAAGGAAGGAAAAGGATTAGAATAAAAATGTGTGGAATTAGAGACTCAAAAGGCAATAGAGAAAGTCAGAGAGGCCATACTCTATTTATTTATTTATTTATTTATTTATTTATTTATTTATTTAAGATGAACAAAATACAAGAGTCTTCAGCTAGAATGATCAAGGAAGGGAGGCTGGAAGGAGAAGCTTCAAAATACTAAAATCATAAATGAAAGAGGGGGCATTACTACAGACCCTATAGAAATACAGTTATCAAGGAATATTAGGAAATTGGATATCTTGCATGAAACACACAAATTCTTAGAAATACACAAAACTGAACAAATAGACCTATGAGTAATCAGAACCTCTCAGCAGATTTATCACTAGTGAAGAGATTGTTGAATGACTAATAAAAACAATCCCACCAGGAAAAATCTAGCACAAGACTGATGAACTGTACCAAACATTTAAAGAATAAATAACTTTAATAGGTACAAAATTTCAGTTTTGGAGGATGGAGAAAGTTCTGGAGAGGATGGTGACAGTTACACAATGTATGAGTGGACATAAGGCAATTCATCTGTATAGTTAAAATAATTATATATATATACATATATACATGAAATAATGTCAATTTTCACAGAATTCTCAAAAATAATAGTATAAGTGAGCATGCTTACCAACTCAATATATAAGACCATTCTTACCCAGATACCAAAACCAGACAAAAATGTTACAAGAAAAAAATACAGTTCAATATTTATTAGAGCAAAGCCTCCTGCTATAATGCTAGTGAACTGAGTTCAGTAATGCTTGACTTCATGACTTCTGATTTGGCAAACAGTTCTCGGATATGACAACAAAAGCATGAGAAACTAGAGAAAAACAGATAAACAAAATTTAATAATCCATTTGCACCAAAGGAAACAATGAAGGAATAGAAGATACAATCTATAGAATGGGAGAGATATGCTTGTGAATTAGGTATCTCAGAGGGTATGAAAGTCTAGGATATATAAACAGCTATTAAAACATCAGTAATATAAATATTGTGCCATTGGAAGTAAGCCAAGATCAGAATGGACATTTCTCTGAAATATAACTGGCCAATAAACACACAAAAATGTGATGAAATGAAAAAAAAAAAAGAAAAAGAAAAAGCAAAAGCTGGGTGTAGTAGCTCATGCCTTTA